CCAAGTTGTTGGGTGGCCGAGTGGAGGGCTGTTCTTGGCACCGGGAGCGCCTTGTTTCGAACGAAAGCGACGAATGCGTTCGCTCTTGCCGTCTTGCTCCTGAGGCTCCTCCTGGTAGGCAGGTCACCCACAAACGATTCATTGTTGAGCTCGCCAGATATCTTCATGGTGCGGAGGGATCTTAAGATTTACGACGTATCAAACAGGAAGATGACTTGTCATTACGCCACGTAGGAAAACGACGACGGGTCACAAAGGGATCAAAGACCGTAATAAACTTCGCGTCGGGGGGTGTTGGGTCGTATGCCATTCAGATCGCCACGGCCCTCGGGGCCCACGTCACTGCTGTGTGTATCGCGGCGAATGTGGGAGTTGCGGAAGAACTGGGTGCCGATGTCGTGGTGGACTGTCTTTCGGAGGACTTTGTCCAGCAAAGCCAAGGCCAAGCGGACGTTCACATGGAGTACGTGGGAAGTCGATCGATGCGAGAAAATTTCCGGGTGCTGGCGGAACACGGCATGTATGTGACGGCGGGCGGTCCACCCGAAACTTGCACCGGTCGCGTGGTGTGCTTCACGGCTCTCAAGCATTTGTCAGTCTTGTTCTAGGCATGCTCAAGCCAACGCAGCACGTGTTGGAGTCGCTCCAAGAGTTGACCGAAGCAGGCCACATCACCCCACGTGTCCCTGCGCAGTTCGACTTGGGTTTGTTTGGTGCACTAGTACCAGTTATCGACAGAGGTTGCATCCAAAGAGAGTGGCGGAAAGCGTCGCAACTCCTCGCAAACATTGTGCTCATCCTTGGACTTGTCATGGAACCAAGCTTGAGCAGTCACATGTCTTATTTTCCCTCCGGTTCATACTAACACACGCAGTTGGCTCTACTTACCTTGCTGAATAGCACCGCACTTCGTCAAGGTGATGACAGCTAAGCGTCGAGCGAAGGCGTGCTCACCATCTAAGTCATTGCGGTTCGAACATTGGCAGCCGTGGAAAGGCAGCTGAAGACTGAACGATCGCAGTTGTCTGCAGTCATATTTACATTATCGATGCACTTTATAATTAAATTTGAGTATGAATAATAGAAGACAAATACATATTGACTGCAATATGTGCTTTTCGCCCCTAAATGACCTACGTCATATGAGTTCGTTGACCTTCGTTGGCATGCGATCTTGTCGTCAAAATCCAAGAAGCAGCGCAGCATGGGGGCCGTGTTTGGTAAGATCAGCGAGGAAACACCTCATTTTGAGAGCCTCGGGCGCATCGGGCCGAACAAGGACATTGAGATCCGCCGCTACGACCCCATCTACACAGCGTCGGTGTCGTCGACGGATGTCCCGGACGCGACGACGACGCGAGAATTCACGCGGGTCGCCTTCGGCTCCCTCGCGCGGTATATTGGCGTGTTTACCGCCCCTGAAAACAAGCCGCGGTCCGGGGAAAGTGGCCCTGGCGAAGCCATGGCAATGACAGCCCCAGTCATCATGGCTTCGATTGAAAACAACAAAGCGGGTGGAGGCGAGCCAATTGCGATGACAGCTCCTGTCCTCCTGTCCCACAGCAACGTAGACGAAACAATGAGCTTTATTTTGCCGTCCAAGTTTGCCAAAGAAGGCCAAGAGCCTCCGATTCCACTCGACTCGAAGGTCCACATCACCAAGGTCGCGTCCCGCGTGCTCGCAGTCAAGACGTTCACTGGAGAACTCACGAAGGAGGTCGCTGCGACCGTGGCCGCCGAAATCATTGGCGTGCTGGAGCTCCAGGGCAAGTACAAAATCAAGCGCAACGATCAAGGGCTTCCTGCGTGGGAGTACATGGGGTACAACTCCCCATTCACGCTCCCGTGGTGCCGAACAAACGAGTCTGCCGTCCTCCTCGAGGCCGTCCCCACCGAGTAAACGTTCTGCGCAATCTCGTAAGCGTCCCAACAAGTCGTATTGCATTGTGTGGCATGTTACGCGTCGTGCCGCATGGACTGGATGAGCTTGCCCCAGTTTAGGAACCACAGCTCCTCGTCGTGCAGCAGCGTGGTGTACTTGGTTCCCAGCGCTGCCATCGACGCATCAAACCACTCGCAGTACGCTGCATGCGTTTCATTGCGGGCTTTCACGGCCGCGCGGTGGGCATCTGTGAGATAAGCCACACACGCCGCCGTGTCGGCCGGCTCGGGTGGCGGGACGACGTCAGCTGGGGATATCTTTGTGTCGTCCTTGATCGCTGGTGCAATGTCGAACACCGGGACGATGGGCAGCCCTGGCCATGCTCGCTTGGGGAATCGCTGCAATTCCTTGGCATCATCAAGTGCATCTTTCTCGTCGTCAGATAGCTCGACCGCCAACGGATCGCCTTGCTCGATCTTTCGCAGTGCTTTGCGCAGCCGCTTGAGCGACTTGGGTTTGTGGAAAACGTCGCTGGCTCCTTTGTTCGGTCCGTCGGCATCGTCCGTGCCCGTCGTGTGCGTTGAGGTCGCGGGTGGACTCTGAATGTCACGGGCCATCGTGCACGAGTCGAGGATCGACATCATGGCGTGGAACATGGCAGTCAGGCGTTTGTGAAATCCCCTGGCGCAGATCACGTGCTGCACGAGCACCTGCCATCGCACGTGTCGAATGGCGTCCTGGACCGCAGCCGTGCGCGCCGCTTCCTTGGCACACAAGCTCTCGACGACAGCAACTTGGTTGGGGCTGCACAGATCGGGTGTCAACTGGCTCTTGTGCTTTTCTTTGACGGCTTCCCACTCTTGAAATTGGGTTTCGAACGCCACCTCGATTGCATCCACGAGGCGTTGGACAGTCGCCTTGGCGCGGCGAACGATGTCCTCCATTGCCAGACGGGGCGCGATCGCCAGAGCCACTTCAAATGCTTTGACTTGGTCGTGGTACATCGCCACTTGATGCTCAACATACCCGACCGACTTTTCGCGCTGCTCGCGCAAATACGCTTGCAACGTGTCCGGGATGTTGTTGTCGTCCATAGGCTTGCCTTCCGCAGCAAACAACGCGCGCGAGTCGGCGACGCACTGCGCTTCAAATTGCTTGGTCGTGTCAAGGAAAGACGTCACGGAGGCGAAATCATGGTCGAGAGGCGCATCTGCGTCATACTTGGTCGATGCTTCAAGGTCGTCTTTGACGGGCTTTGGCTGAAGCTGCATCTTGTTTACGAGGACACCGAGATACAGCCCCCGAATGTACATGACATGGCGGAGCTCGAGCAAGAGCTTGCGAACGTGGCGGGCGAGATTGCTCGGTCCTTTCGGTCCTACGGGTGGCACACCAACCCAGATCAGCATGCAGCATAAAAGGCAAACGGGAGTGAGTAGGGAATATCGTTTTCACCTGGCGGCGCAGCGGTCGTCGTGGCTGCTTGCTTGAGCATGTCCAAGAGGTCGCTGATTGTGCTCGCCATGTTGTCCGACCGGGTCATTTCGCTTCGCAGCCGCTCCTGGGCATTCCGCCGCGGCAGCCCGTACTTCTGTCCGAGGCCTTCCTTCATCGACAACGTCTGCAGGCAGGTTTGGTGCCTCGACTTGAACGTCGCCTAGAGCGATACATGTCCAGCTGACGCCGTACACACGAGCAATCATGATGTCATGTACCAAGAGCGCCCCAACGCGACTTTCCTGGCTCTCGAGCGCATCCATCACGGCCTTACGCCCCGCGACCGCCGTGTGGATCGTCATCTCTGCCTCGGACACAATTGCATGGACGAGCTTAACCTCGTCTGGATGGTAATCGCATCCCGAAATGACATCGCAACTGACCAAGTCGGGAAATATTTGATGCGTGCACGTCGTCACAAGCTCTCGGCACGTGGCAATTAGCGCTGTCGGCTCGTCCGTCAGGTACACCGCCATTTGAACGCGCAAGAGGTCGCTCCACGCAGCTTTGAATTCGATGTGAACCTTCTTCGACCGACTCTCGAGCCCTTGCAACGCCGCTAAACTTGTTTGCATGAGAAGTTGCGACTGCAGCCCAAGCTGGGCATTCTCTTGGGCCCGCAAACACGCGAGGGCGTCGTCATGCAGCTTGACAAACTCGGCTTCTTGCGCCGCAAGCTTCTTGAGCACGTTCTTGATGTGTCGGCCATGGCGCTGTCGGTGGCTCACGAGTTCGCCAGCGCGCGGCTGGTATATCTGTACATCGGTGCGACCCTTTCGCGGCCAGTGCATGCGCAGGCATTCTTCCAACAGGAACGTGTACGCTTCCACACGCGTGTGAGCTTCCGCATTTGCCTCGTCCAAGTGCGCGCCACTCCTGGTCTCGAACAGTGACATGGTGGCGTCGCGCAGCCGAAGAAGCATGGAAAGGAGTGTGGACTGGGGCACGTCCAGCACAGCGATGACAGAGTCAAGGGGAATTTGGATGTTGGGAGGGTCGGACGGAGTCTCGATGACGGGATCGACGACCGGGGCAGGGCTAGCTTCGGGTGGCGGTACATCCACCAGCACTGCGGCAGACGCACTGCGGGGGGTGCCTTTCGCCGGTGGTTTGGTCGATGGTGGGAAGGACGTCGGATCGGCGGGAGGCGGGGACGCGTCGACAGGTGGAGCCGTCGCTTCCGGAGGTGGGTTATCGTCATCGCTGGGGTCTTCGCCCGGTAGCAAGATCTTTTTCAACAGAATTCGGCCAAGGATGTCGTTCACGGATTCGCACTCAACGTACCGACACCCGTTTTGACTGCAATATGCTGCGACTTCGACGGGGTTTTCATCTACTACTGCATCCGGTCGGGATGACGAGTGATCCAGCGCGGCAGCGGACGCATGAGGAGCGTCCTGTGCCGGCGGTGGCACCGACGCTGTGGACGGTGACGCTTTCAACGTCGTGTGATCATGCGTTGAGGCGTGGGACTCGTGATGATGGAGGGACGACGTCGACGGCGGCGACGATGGCGGTTGCGGCGGTGAGTCGATGGCGTTCTCAATGACCTCAGCACTCAGCAAGTCGTCCAATGCAGCGGGGACGCCGCCGGCCGGCGGCTGGAGTCCAAAGAATGCGCACAAGTCGTTTCGAAACGCGTGGTTTTGCCGGGCGATCGCGATCGGGTGGTTGGTGGACGCGAGCGACACCTTTTTGTTGTACTTTCGGTATTCGTCCTCGAGGCGTTCGAGGAGGTCCAAGCACTGCCGAAATTCTCGTTCGAGTGCTGCCTCGTCGGGCGCGTGGCGCAGCGCCGATCTTGTCGTCGAGAACTCGGCCTCGCACGCTGCGACATGGCTGTCATGCGTGTCCTTGAGTGTGTCGAGGAGGTCCATCACGGTCAAATTGACGACGCGCGTCCGGTCCTCGTACGTCTCGGTGCACGCGACCAACTGGTAAAAGAACCGAGCAACGCGATCGCACGTGACGTGGAGGATGGTCGTGTGTGCTTCGAGCCCGGCGCCGACCGTCGCGACCAGCGCATCCATCTCGCGCTCGCGGAGACCAAGCAATCCATTGCACTCGTGCGACACGATGCCGTCCACGACCGCGTTCGCATGGGTTTGGACCTCCAGAGCACTCAAAGTCGCATGCAAAAGCGACTGGAACGGCGGCGGAAGGTCCGTCGTGTACACGAGAGTTCCAAGCCGCCGCTGCGCCTTGCGGATGCCTTGCATGTCGGCAATCTGGAACGCGTCCAGCCCGATGCCTTTGCTCTTGACGGCGGCGGCTGCACTCGCCTGCGCGTCGTTGTCTTGAATGAGACTGTCGAGTTTCCCGGCGATGTCGTCCAGGTCATGCCGCAGCGTGTCGTCGATGCCTTGGATCCCTGCCAGCGTGGTCGTTTGCGCCAAGAGAATCGGCAACAGCGGGACGATTTCGTTCTTTGGGGCCTTCCGCAGACGCTCGAGTGTTGCTTGGATGGCTTTTCGCTCGGAGGACTTGCCTTGGGCATCAAGAATCGACTCGAGGGGCAAGGCGGCGACGAGCATGGCCACCCGCGGCATGAGGGCCGCCACGTTCTCCTGGTAAATCATATCGGGTGACGCCAGGCGGTCCTCGATCGCTGCCAATTCGGCCCGCAGCCCACCCGACAGTCGAAAGAATTCGTCCAAACTTTTGTCGGCCAAGAGCGCAGTGAGCTGCGTTGCGATGGTTGCCAGGTCTCCTTCCTTGGCCTTGGCCCCTACGCGATGGCACGTTGCACGAAGCTGCTCTCGTAGCGCCGCCGCTTCGGCTACAATGTCGCGCTGGCACGTAAAGAGCTGGTTAAAGTACTCTGCATTGCGCTCTTCCTCCTTCTTGTACAAGTCTGCCAGAGCCAACACGATCCGATGGACTCTTTGCGTCGACAATCCCCCACCAACGAGGCCGTCGAGTTGACCGAGCAGTGCGAGCCGCTCGTTCGTGTGCACCGACAGTTGGTCGGCGCGCAAGTTGGCGAGAATCTCATGCAGGCGGGGCGGATGCGTGTACAGCGGAGACTCGAGCGTGATTTTGAAATGTTGGATCGCGTGATCGTGGTTGAGCACGCGCCAGTGCCGCTCACACTTTTCCCACATGATTCGGACATGAACGAACTTTTGCGCGTCTTCCTTCAGCATGCGGCTGACCAGGTGGCAGTGGCTCCGTCGATTCGAGATCAGCACCACGTTCAGCTCATGCGCTTCGACTTCGATCGCGCGCTCGACTTCGGGCGGGAGCACGTACGCCGCGGCGACGCAAGTCTCTGTGAGCAGCTGGAGTTCTACGCCGGCCAGGGCCGATCGCGTCTGCTCAATGGCTTCGAGGCCATCACCAAATTGCCGAATCGTTCGAGTGCGTCCACTCCACAGCCCTTCCAAGTGCGCCCACTGCTCGACCACCATGGCGTGCGACGCGTGGATGAGCCAAGGCTCGTTCGTGAGGAGAGCAAAGTGGTTGTCGTTCGCAGCGGCGACGGTGGCCAGCTCTTCTTTGATGGCATCGCTAATGCGCAAGATGTCCGTCTCGAGCTGCTCACTGATCGCTTTGAGGCGGGCTTGGTACTGGGCCTGCGCAGCAGTGTGGCGGTCCCGCCGGCGCATCGCGTTGGCAGCAATCTTGTCGACTTTTCCTGTCGGGTCGCCTTGATCGTGGTGCGCTGTGGTCGTTGGCTGCGTCGAGAGCTTTTGGTGGTGCAGCTCGCGTACTTCGGTGACCGCGGCAAAGTCTGCCGTCCCTTCTGTCGCCGCGACGTGGCGCTGGCGATACGACACCATGTCCGACGCCGCAATGTTGAGCAATTTGATCGCGCCGCTTTTCGCGTCTTTCTTGTGAAAGTCACGCGGCTTTTTCAGCGCCGTCAGCAGCGCCTGCTCCGCTTCAAACTTGGGATCGAGTTTTCGTTCGTCCATCTGCGGGACCACGCCCTCCGCGCTCTCTTCCTCGACCTCCATCGTCGTCGCGGTGGCAGGATATACCGCAGCGACGGTTTGAATGTGCTTAAAACGGTCGCCCGTTTCCCGCTGGTTGGAAACGGCGCGGGCCATGACAACACGGGTGGCATTGTAGCCAGGACAAGGGTAAATGGATGCATGGGCAGTTTAGAGTCTAGCGAAAGCTGGCGGCGGTGACGTGGCTCGCTCGTAGTTCGAGGTAGTCTTGTTGCGGCAGCAGCGACGCTTGGATTTCGACGATTTCGACCGGCTTGGGTCGTACGATAGCGAGGAAACCTTGCGTGAATGGCTTGGTCGTGAATAACGCCGGCGTTAGCGACTCGTTGATCTCGATCAATGCCCCGCGAATGCAGCTGAACAGAGTCGTTGTGCATGGAGATTACAAGGACGAGAGGTTGTGTACCTGCGGAAGGCGAACACGTCCCCCGTGGAACACTTGATACGACACAGGACAGTGTCGGGATTAAGCCAGACGCCGCCCTTTTTCTTCTTCCCAGACACTTTGCTCTCAACTATGGTCGGCTCAAAGTCGATTGCAATCACAGTCAGCCCGCGCGTGAAGATAGCGTGGCCAGGTGCGATCCCGATCTAGACGGCGTGAGGATGCGAAGGATCGTCGCACGTACGTACGACACAGAGACGATTCGAGTGCATGTTGATGAATTGATCTTCGGATGGCTCGCCCATGATGTCGGCGGCATACATCCGCGTATAGTACCTGTCCACCTGCAGCACCCGTGTCATTCGCGATTGGAACGCCGTTTGGTGGTCGTCGTCGTACCATGCTGCCCGTGCGAGATACATAGTCGACCACCGTTGCGTCGTCCTTGTGCACAAATTTATCCGCTTGACGCTTCTCTCCTTGGTCGCGGATCAGCTTGCGTTGCGCCGTCACGGTAAACGTGCCTCCGTCTTGTAGTTCGTCGCTACATGCACCATACATCATGCACAGAAACGACCACGTTGTGTCGATGGAGTTGTCACGTACAGTCCATGGGCATACACACAATCTGGGAACGGACACCCGTCCGGTTTGTCAAAGTGGCGGCACAGCTGGGTCTTTTTCAACGCCAAGCGGCGTTCGCGGCGGCGTTTTTTCCCCACAGGCTTCTCCGATACGGCGTTCTTCGCGACAGAGTCAGGATTCCCCGTGCCCGCATCCGTCGTAGCTTTGTCCAACGACACATGGGTCGACGCCGGTGGCGGGACACTACCGCTTGCCTCCATTCAAGTTTCCTTTCGTGCAATGGAGTCAAACCGGATAAACGGTGCATTATCCGGAAATCGCATTGTCGATGCCCATATTGGTTTGCATGTTGGTGACGTGGGTGGTGGAATTGCTCCCGACGCTTCGCATCTCCACGGCTCACTCTCCAAGCGCTTCACCACTGTGCACGTCGCAACTTCCACAAGAAATGAATATTCTGATCGTCGAAGCAGATGCTTGGTTTGAGGGACATCGTCGCGTCCGCGTGGCAAAAGGTGCCTCGCTCGACAACCTTCGCGCCGCGTTGCACGATCAATTGCGCCTTCCCAATGATGTCGCGAGCATGTCCATCACGCTGTATGATACTCCAACACAGTCCATTGTCCCGCTCCGTCATGGCCATCAAATCCAGTCACACACCCGCCTCTTCCTGTCCCCATCGTCCGACACAGCGTCGCAGCCCGTGCTCGCCATTGCAAGCCGGTCGTTCGGTTTTGCGTTTGAAAGGGGTGAGTTCCGCGTCCATGGAGTTCCTTTATACATCGGAGAAGTCGGCAACACTGGCAAAGGCACAGGACTCACGATTTGGGACGGGTCCGTGGTGCTAGCGCGGTATCTCGAGCACGTTTCCTTGTCGGTCGGCCACGACGACAACGTTCGCGGCAAACGCGTCCTCGAGCTTGGCGCGGGTACGGGTCTCGTTGGACTCGCGGCCTCTCTTTGCGGGGCCTCCCACGTAACCTTGACAGATTTGGCGTACGCGCTCGAGAACCTCTCGAGGAATGTCGAGCTGAATCGCGGTGCGATATCGCCGGCGGCCGTGGCCGTGTCCGAGTTGGACTGGTTTGCTCCTCAGTCGTCATCCTTCACCGATGGCGTTGACATGGTCGTGGGGTCGGACATCGTGTGGGTGGAAAGCCTGATTGAACCTCTCGTTCAGACGATCGCCGTGCTGTTGAAGGGCGGTCGAGTGAAGGCTTCGACGATGCTGCTTGCGCACCAGACAAGATGCACTGCGTCCGATGCGATCTTCTTCCAGCTTGTGAACGATCATGGCCTCGTTGTGGCATCGATCGACGCGCCGCCCGCCATCCTACCCCAAGACAAACACATACGACTCTACAAGATCCAAGTACCCGCCAACGATTGAGCGAATGAGGACAGAGCAGCTGCTGAAAGCGCCTGCAAGAACGTTCTTGCAGCTCCGTGGTCTGCCAGCCATAGCTTCTGCACGCTACCGATCCACGAAAGACTCCCCACATAACATGACCTTGTCTCGCTGCTGAAACGACATCATTCCAGCGCTGGACTCGTCTACAGTCGGGAACCACGACGTGAGATGGTAGGAAGCATGGACGAGGCATTGGTTATGGCGGAGGACTGACGTGCGGTAATCTGTGAGTGCCCCAAATGTCGAGGAAGCGGACGGTCATGAACGAGAAGCTGCACAGCGCGATCGGAGGTGCGAACGGCTGCTGGCGATGAATAGTGGGGACATGGTATGTTGGATTCTCTATTAAATCGAAGAATGAGCCTTGCCGCCCTGCCCTCCGTTCGCAGCGCTCGGGTGACCTGTGATTGTGTACACAACGAGTGAAGGAGGCGCAGGCGCAGCGAGGCACGTCCTACAGCTATGGGGGTTGGAGATGCGGTAACGCTTATTCGAGCTCGCCGACGCCACCCATTTCGGTGATCTTGGCCATCAGTTCTTCGGCTTCGGCTTTCTTCAATTCCTTCTTGAGCACGGCGGGCACCGACTCGACGAGTTCCTTGGCTTCCTTCAGGCCCAAGCCAGTAATTGCTCGGACTTCCTTGATCACCTTGATCTTGTTCTTGGCGTCAAAGCTGACGAGCTTGACATCGAACGAAGTCTTTTCTTCCTTCTTTTCTTCTTCGGCAGCAGTCTCGCCGCCGGCGCTGCCGCCTCCGCCACCCATGGCGAAGCCCATTTCCGGGATGTCAAACTTGACCTACACACGACAGCATGAATACCCGTTGGTTCTACGACGGTCGGGGCGCGCAGTGCCTACTTGAATGGCCGCCGACAGCTCGGAGATTTCGATCAAGTTCAACTCGCAGATCAAGTCCAACACGTTTTGAACTCGCGGGGTCAACGCAACTTCGTTTTCAATCATCTTTTTCTGGGCTTCCGTGGCCTCCTTGACTTCCAAGAAGCGAGGAGTCGAGGACGAGATGGCGCGGCGGCCAGCCACACCGCGGATGACGGACGCACGGACAACACGGGTCAACATGGTGCAGCAACAAGCGTCAACGGAAATGACACGCCGACGAATCGGCCTCAAACGACTGGTGAAAACGAAAACTCCAACCTTTTGTATCAAAACAAAGGGGGAATGTACGACCTTTGTACGTTTGTACACGAACAATGTACCGCAATCCCAAATGCAAGAGTCAAATGAAACGTACGTTCGTTTTTTTTGCCACCGAGAACCCTCTTTGTTTCTATTTTGCTTATAAGTTTTGACAATCCATCCATTCCAAAAGGTGTATCTTTTGCACGACGGCCGCCTCGCCGGCACCCTCATCTTGTGCGGACGGCCAACAAACCACTTGTCGTTCCCCCGAGGTACTGGCGCAGCTCTTGGCGCGCTTCCAATCACACCCTAGTGGGACATGGAGGGGACGGAGGCAGTTGTTCGAGTAAGTAGTCTCATGACTGTATGGTACGAGTCAAGGATCATCGATGCAGCAATTATGCCGGCGTGGTTCTTGCTACGCAGGGGCACTTGGTTAGTGGTGCATCAGCAGTGCAGTACCATTAGAGATCTTCCGTGTTGGCGCATGGAGTTATGGCTTGGGGGAACCTGCAGTGGTGGCGGCTCTCGTCGGGATGCTCTTGGTTGGGAACGACAAATACTTAATTGAAGGAAGGCATGTAAAGCTTTCCCAAAAGTACTTCGGTTTTAGATTCCCCGCGATCCAGCTGCGCAATGCCGCTTGGAATGCCAACAACGAGGGTCAAGGACGAGAACAACATTTGGGAGGAGCATTATCCGCTCTTGCAGCCCAACAGCACCAACAACACCCTGCCCATACACAACTTCTTCTCCCCAGAGGTTGTCAACGCGTACACGTATGGAGTTCAGGCGTTCGTGGTGACACTTGTGACTCTTTCCATCTTGTCGTTGACGGGGCTCGTGCTGTGCCAGCTCTTCATGCTGTCCAACCTTCTGTGTGCGCTGTTTCGTCTGCTGTGGCTCGTGTCCCCGGCGGTCGCTGCGCTGTCCCTTCGACACATTGCAGGGACTCACCTGAACTTTCGATATAACGTGATGGCGTTTCCGATGTGGGAAATTCCTCCGCTCGCCGACCTGTTCCAGTGCTACCCAAAGTCATCTCTGGCGCGGATGCTCTCAATGAGTTTTTTCATTCCGTTGCTGTGCCAAGTCGCCGCGTACACCCTCGTCGCCGCCACGCGCATGGTGAATCCGGTACGACGGTCATAAACTGATCTGGCATTGACACTAGAGTCTGTGCAGTTCAATCGGCCGTTTGTGGAGCGCGCCGAGTCGGTCTTTAGTTTTGACAACCAGGACGCCAAGGAAGGCGGGCTCGTATTTTATGTGTTTTACCTCGTCGTCGCTGGAATTGTATGGGACCCCGTGCCGCCGCCACGGTACGACTTTGGCGTCGCCGTCAACAGCCGTCCGATCGGTGCGTGTTCCTGCATGTTCGTGGTGAATCATGAATCGAGCAGGCTGCAGTTGGTTGCTACTGAGTTTGTTTCAAGAAATCGGATGGAGTGGCGCGCTATATCCAGGTACACATCGCGATCGCGAGACCGTGCGTCGAAACATCGCATGGACTCTAGCTCTCGACATCGTGTTTGGCCACAGCGCGTTTATGGCGTCCGTCGTGACCGGTCTCGTCTGGGCCGTGTGGCACTGGCCGTTTATCATTGCCGAAAAGTTCGCGATCATTCCGCCAGGCTCGGGGTACTCGGTCGTCGACGTCGACGATTTTGAAGTGCTCAGTGTGCTCAGCATCTTTACCATTCTCCTGGTGGGGTCGCGAATCATCATGTGCTGGATCCAAGGCAAGTCGAGCTATATCATTTGGTCGAGCGTTCTGTACCACGCTTCCCACTGCTTGTACGGCATCTCGTCCACCCAACGGCAAATCACGGACGTGTAGGTTCATCGTCAGCGTGTTTGGCCAGCTCACGGGGCCGCTCTACGAAAAGGCCGACGACTACCCGTACTTTTCGAGCGAAGGCAGCATCTGCCTCGTTGTCACGACGTGGTTCTCGACGTGCATTTTGTCGCAGCTCTTTCGGGGCAACTACCTCAAGTTGTTTGCGCGCTGGCGGAAGCACCGCTACTGAGTCCTGCGCATTGCCGTCTGTCGTTCAACTTAATGTGATGCTAGACCAGCGTGCTGTCGACGCTAGAGCCCTACTTGGGAATGTCGGAAAAGGGAAAGTGGTCCTTGTAGCACGTCTCGAATACTTTGTCCACGCATGACGTTTCCTTCCCGGTGCACATGGGATTGTACTTGAGCGAGAGCTCGGCCCGCCGCCGTACGCACACCTGTGCAAGGACCATTTTTATGAGGTGGTTCATATCGAGAAAGGAAGAACGGACCTGATGCTGCTTGGCAATGTTGAAATGGCCACGAAAGACTTCGAGGTGCCAGTCGCAGTCTCCACTGAGCGCCGCGGCGCGGATCTCGCTGCACGCATGCGCATCGCAGTCGGTTTTCCAATCAACTTGCGCACGGCAGTGATCGTACGCGTGGATGAGCTCGTGGGCCAATGTGCGATCCATCCACTCTTGATCTTTGATGTGGTTCTGGCACAGCACGACGCCAGGTTGCCCATCTTCGTTCAGTTTGAACCCACCATTAATGTTGCCTTCGCAATGTTCGCTCGAGAAGAAGTCTGGAAGGTCTTTCACCTTGCACCCCATCTTCTCCATGGCTTGTACGAGGAACGTCACCTTGGAGCCTACAATGGTGTCGACGCCATGGCGCACAAGTCAGCACACACAACCACGTCAGGGACGAAGGAGCATGCGTCGCACTACTTGCATTTGTTCAAGGAATGCACAAGCATCTCGTTGCTCGTCTCATGCTGTGCCACTGTTTCTGCCGTCGCGGGACCGGCCGACGTCATGTCTTTGAGCACATTCTCCATCGCTGCCAACCAAGACGAGTTGCACGGCCATGGCGGGATTGTTTATCCGGGGGAATCCGGATAATCGAAGCAACGCAGAAGGCGTCGCAATGGGAAGACCGCCTCCCCAGCCACATCATGCGATCGAGCGGCGAAGATGCTAAAGATGGATGCTTTGACGGTGTCCCAGCTCTTGGTTGGCGTCAGCGTCACTCTTCTCATGCCTGAGGTTATCTTCGGCCGCGTACGGACGATTCGGTTTGTCTGTGCATGGATTGCTAATCGTGTTCTGAATAGCCTCCAATGCGGTACTTTCGTCTCCAGCAGCTCTTCGTCGTCCTGCCTCAATTTGCGTCGCTTTCGCTTGTGATGATGCATGCGCGCCTCAAGTGGAGGCATATTCGCCCGCAATCCAGGCATAAAGTACGTGCCATGCCTGTCGCGATCGTCCACGAGAGTTGACGAATGCCATGCTCGCTGCAGATCTTTATGGTGCACGTCATTGCAATTGTGTGTGTGTGCACCGCCGCGGAGCAGTCAGGGTTTCGCATGGGATTGCGGTGGTGCTGCATGTTTCCATCGTCGTGGTAAGTACATGGACGATTTCGCGTCTCAACGACGACGACCTGTCGTAGTCCGCCAACTCCCCTCGTCAACCCTGCCTTGTGCACGGACGCCTTCCGCTCTCTTGGTCGCTCGTTTCTTGTGTCCATGCATTTCGTCGGCACACTCGGCTGCTTTGTCGCCCATGGCGCGCTCTTTACGTCCAACTCGCTTCAACTTGCCCTCCTTTCAACGCAGTGATCTAGTGCAGCTCGACTGTCATGTTTCACTTTAGTGCGTCTACGCGAACAGCTCGCCTTGCTTGGGAGGCTTTCCCGCCTGTTGGTTGTTCATTTGCCCATCTTTCGAGACGACCGCCGGTGTTTGCTCGGGCTGTTGCAATTCGATCGTCGCGAGCTTCACTTCGTTCTCTTGCACCTTTTGCACTTGGTCCGGTTTGAGCTCCTTGTCGCACATCGGGCACACGGGATCCGCGTCCAAGTGGGTCGTCAAGTGCGAGTACAGCGCGGGGAACTGGCAGTGCGGGCATTGGCTCCAATCCGCCTTGACCATGTGGTAGCCCTACGGCATCGATCAGCATGAAGCTGGTGTGGATGGCTGCGGCAGCGCGCCTTCAACCCACCGTGACCGCACAATACGGAATCCAGTTCTTGCAGTGGGTGCAATCGAGTTCAACGTCGACAACGTCGTGGTCGCAGAACGGGCACGGCGTCAGAGTGTCCGGTGGCTGCTCCTTGTTTGGGCGTCGCACGATCGCTTCGATCTTGCGCTTGATCTCTTTGTCGATTCCGTTGCGGTACTCGGGGCGCATGAGTTGCGTAGCAAAATCGTAGCTATTCCCCTTGAGTCCGGCGCGCTGGCACTCGATGACAGCCGAGATGAGGATGTTGGACACATGCGTTGGAAACTTGGACATGTTTTTGGCCACGCGGACAAGCATCTTGGCGGCGGCCACGTGGTCACCTCGCTTGACGAGCTTCTTCACCACGACGTAGCTGTGGAGCAGTGTGAGCGAGTTGCGCAGGTCCTGGTTCACGTGGATTTTGTGGAGCTGCAGCTGGCGGTGGGTCTCGACCAACACGTCGTGCGCGACCTTGTAATTACCCAGCTCCTGCTCTTGCCGAGCAATGATGATGGCCGTCTTGGCAGCTTGCGCATAGTTTCCCAGGGCCATGTACAGGCGAAAGATGTAGTTCGGGTCTTTCGGTATGCCGTCCGTGTCGCCCATGAGGTAATCGATCAAGGTGTGCGTGAGCATGTCGTTGCGGGCTTTCCCGACGACGTCTATCGCGCGGCCGAGCTCGGCCTCGCCGCACTGAAGGAACAATCGAAGTGCCTTGTGGTAGTTGCCGCACACCTGGTAGTACTCGCCAGCGCGGGCGTGGGACTGGATCTGCTCGTAGTGCTGGGCAATCTTGAGTGCTCGCTCGACCGAGATGGTGTCCCCGATCGTTTTCGTGAACGCATCGATCTCGTTATGCGCTTGCGCGAGCTGGAACGCGTCGTCTTCGCGGTTTGCCAAGAGCAAAAAGTCGATCGCGGCGGCATAGTTAGCGCTCTCGATGCAGTACTTGGCGACGGCGGACGCGCCCTCGGACGACTTGGTCTGCTTGACAATCGAAAACGCTTTCTCTGCGTTGTTTAGGTGCTCGAGCTGGATGCGAACGACGCTGTCGAGGTCCATCGCTGCTTCATACGCATCGGACGCGGCGGCAAACTCGCCCGCCGCTTCCTTCGCCTTGGCGTATTGCACGTGAACCTTGGGCATGTGGACCTTGGCCATCAACGGCGCTGCCTTGTGGAGCTGTTTCATTTGAATGTAGATCTGCGCCGCTTTTTCGTACACTTCGCCTCGCTCGTACAGCAGGGCCGCGTCCGACAACTGCTTCATGCCTTCCAAGATGAGCCCACACTCTTTGCACAGCGACGGGTCGTTGAGTTCTGTAACGAGCCGAATGCCGCGGCGGAGGTCGCCCGTGCGGAGCGTGCATCGCGCAATTCCGGCCATGCTTTGCATCTGCGTCTTCTCCGACGCGACGACGGGGTTGCCAAGTGGGTCGACTGCGTTGCACGCGTGCTCGTACATTTTCAACGCGCCTTCAACGTCACCTTTGAACTCGAGCTGGGCCGCGTACGACGCGCTGAGCTCCGGCACGAGGTGGACCGCGAGCGAGTCGGCCAGAAGCAGCGCCTGGTCCCATTGCAGCAAGTATCGCTGCATCGTCAACGCGGCCATCGGGTCGCTCGAGTTGAGAAAGAGCTTCTGCGCTTGGTCGTACTGGCCAAACAGCATCGAGACGTGGCCGGCCAGCAAGTTTTTATCCTCGACGTGCTCGATGCGATTGAGGCCCATGACCATGCCGGCGTCCCCAAGCTGGCGGTACACGCGCTTCGACAGCGTAATGTCGAGGGTGTGCATCGCTCGCCCTGCACCCAAGGATTCAAAAGGCAGGGAACACAACGTGAATCGAATTCCAGCCACACGTTTCAGTGAAGCAAACAAAATGCGGAAACGAAGTAGGCATGATGGGGGTCGTACCAGCAAGTGCGAGCCAGTACTCTTTCGCGTCGATCGCGACCGCTTGTTTCCACGCAACGTCCATGCGTAAGAGGCCGAGGCATTGCTTGAACACGGCCTTGTCCGACTCGGGGCGAACGCTTTTCTACTCGAGATCATCAGGCAAGCCGTTCCAAGTCCACATGGGGACGCGCTAGACCTGGAGCGCCTCGTGGGTGCATGACATGACGTTTGAGAGCGTACCGCCAGGCTGCTGCGTCGTGAGGACGCCGTCGGCAAAGAGCACGGCCGAGTGGCCGGACGGGATCTTGGTGGCCTGGGGCGAAAACTGAAAGTCGCCGTTCAGGTCGATGTCGATCGTGCCGAGCTGGGTCACTTCCGGCCCGTTGATTGTGAGCTCCGTGTACAGGAACGTGGTGAATTCCGTCGGTTCGATCGCGACAAACACAGTCGGATCGCACGTGTCCCAGAAAATTGCGCTCGCCGAGTTTGGCACGCTGGGGACGTACAGCGCCTCGCGGTTCGTCGCATTCAAAATGTAAGCGCGGCGCCGCGAATCGATGAACACGACCTTGGTCCCGACGGCGTTGGGAGCAATGTGGACGATACCAATGCCGTCCTCATGGCGGTAGCTGCATCCTTCTAGGAGCTTCCACTCGTGGAGAAAGAAAAAGTGGACGCCACCGACGCCGCCGCTCGTCGCGTAGATGAAAAAGTCCTTGGTCAAGGCAATGCTCGAGATTTCGACCCCCCGATCCTCTCGCCCGTGGGTTTCCGGGAACGACTTGGACTGTTCATGGTTGCCTCCGTCTGTCCATCCCACCATCGACATGAGAGCTGCTACTGCGACGTTGTCGACAAGGACGAGGACGGAGCTTACACTGTTGTTGAGCGCCAGGCTCGATGAAGTGAAGGACCACCTTGCCGTCGCTGAGCACAGCCGCGTAGTCTGCGCCGCACCGTGGAATATCCATCCTCATGTCGTTGCACGTACCTCGATTCAGTTTGACGCTGGTGACGCGGCCGAGATATTGCTGCTCGTTCACAAGTGCATCGCGGTTCCCGCCGTCGCACCTGTAGAACCACACACGATTGTTCATGCCGACTGCAACGTGGCGGGGCCCGATTGCAATGAACGACGGCTCTATCGAGACTTGGATGTGGATGGGGGCGTCGCGGCCGAGGGTATCGACGACGGTGATCTCGCGGAGAGAACTCAGGAACGCGACGTAGTTGCCGACGTGGTCATGGATGTTGGGCATGCGCGCCAGGAACGTTTGGATGATCCCGCCTTGCGTTGCCACCGTCAGGATCTGGCCGTCCCCCGTGTACGCCATCATGTTGGCTTCGTTATCCTGGTGCACACGACATGACAAAGGGGCCATCCAAGGCGAGACATGTACCTCGGCGTCCGTGAGCTTGATCGAGTCGGCTTTGATTTCGGAATAGTTGGACATATCCACGACCTTGATGCCGCTCTCGCCGCTGATCGCGATGCGATTCAGGACGGGCGAGTAGCACATGGCGTAGAGGCGCTCCGAGAAGAACCGCCCGGAGAACATCTCCTCGCCGATTTCCTGCAAAGGTCCAGAGTCCGATGGAGCCGCGAGTTTGGGGACCACGTACGTCCATTTGCGTCGAGATGCAAATGACAAATCCCTCCGAGAACGCAATCATGAGGTAGCCGCCGTTGAACCATTCAAATACTTTGATCGATCCGTAGTGCTATCGCGACGTTGCGCTCGTGAGGTTGATGGAAGGAGCTGCGCCAGAAGCATCAGTACCGCTTGAAAGGTGAGTTCAATGGGATTTTCCGGGTCGGTCGTGTCGAGTAGAACCAGCGACTTGACCACGTTGATGGCGACGCACGTTTCGGGACCGCGCGTCGAGTCGCCCTTTCGGTGACCAAATTTGCAGTCGGAAGGCTACTCATGCGAGGGTTAGGCAGCTGAAATCGAGAGCGTCGAGCGTACCGAGAGTTTGAGTTCGCGCTGCTGTAGTGTGTCCCCTCCAGCGTTGCTGATTGTGACCATGCGGTCGTCGGCACCGAGCACCAACTGGTCCGAATTGTTCCACGCGCCGCACGTGATTTTCTTGGAATGTTTTCCGAGGACCGGGACGATCTTTCGTGTCGACTTGTTGTACAGGATGAGGTTTCCCTTCATCGTCCCGATTGCTATGCCGACGTTATGTCAACTTAGATGCGGAAGAGCACGCACCAAGTTGGGTGCCTGTGTTTGACCATCGGATGAACGACGGGTCTTTCAAGTTGGTATCCAGGTTCTGCGTCGTCCGAGCACTCAAGTCCCACAACGGGACGATACCGTTGCCAGTTTGCAAAATCGCGAGCGTGTTGCCGTCACGGTCCCATTCCAGGGCCAGTACAGGCGTTGCCATGTCGAGGCCAATTTCTTCGTACTGCTCGCCTTGGCGGTCGAAGATGTGGACAAGCCCTGAAACAAGACGCTTCGATCATGTCCTGACACAACGCAACAACGCACCGTTCTTTCCGGCCGTGGCAAGGAAGTTCCCCGCCGGCTGCCATGCGAATGTCACCGGGCCCACGCCGTGGTACGTCGGAGGGAGCTTGAACAGCTTCTTCATCGCGCGCGACTGTTGGAAATGGAATAAATCTTGGGCGGGCGGGCGCCCCGGGCCGCGGGCAGATCTTTGGAACCTTTAAAACGTAATATGTCATTGAAAGACACAGGTTTGATCTGGTGTGGGGTCCAAAAAAGAGCATCCGCCGAAGTGGGGAGAAGATGACCAAGGACACGGCCCAAGTGCAGGTGCCGTCCGACGACCCGAAGAAGAAGCAGAGCCTAGAGCCTGTGCATGCGCCACAAAAGGATGGCGTGGACGACAAGGAGCCAGAAGAGTTGTCGGAAGAAGACAAACAGCTCAAGGAAGATCTCGAGATGAGCGTCACACGGATTCTCGACGCCAATGAACAACCTGGCGTCAAGAAGCTTGCGCTTCAAACGCTCCGCGAACTCATTCGAACTGCCACGTCGAGTATGACGTCCGTGCCCAAGCCGCTCAAGTTCTTGCGCCCGCATTACCAAGCGCTCAAAACGGCGTACACGACACTGCAACAGGCTAACCAGACGGAACTTGCCGACATCCTTGCGGTGCTTGCGATGACAATGGCCCCCGAAGGGTCTCGCGAAAGCTTGCAGTACAAGCTCAAGGGCAACTCGACGGAACTCGGGTTGTGGGGTCATGAGTTTGTTCGGTCGTTGGCGGGTGAGGTTGGCGAGGTAGGTTGAGAATTCTATGTAAACTCTTTCTTGACACCGATTTCTCCCGTAGGAATACACGGCGCGCGTCACGACGACGGTCGACGCAAAGGTGGACGATTTGCTCGCGATCGTCGATGCCATCGTACCATTCCACATGCAGCACAATGCTGAACCGGAAGCCATTGACATCCTGATTGAAGTTCAGAAGCTCGATCGGCTCCTCGCGTCGCCCGAGATCGATGAAAAGAACTACCAACGTGTGTGCCTCTACCTTTTGGCTTGTGCCGACTTCATGAGCGACCCTGACGACCTCCAGACGCTTCTCACCACTGCGTACGCCATTTACATCCGCGTCGAGAAGTACCCCGATGCGCTGCGTGTGGCGCTGCGACTGGATAGCGAAACACTCGTGGCGGATGTGTTCTCCAAAACGAACGATCCTGCCGTCCGCAAGCAACTCGGGTACATTTTGGGCCGCCAGCGCTTTTGCTACGACGACGAGCACCCGGAACACGCCGTTGTGGACCAGGTATGTACGACCAATTTGGTCTTCATGGAGTTGTCACATCTGTGCTTGATGCAATTAGATTGGCAACGCCGAGCTGAGCGACAAATTTCTGGCGCTAGCGCGTGACTTGGACGTGTTGGAGCCCAAGACCCCTGAGGACATTTACAAGTCGCATCTGTCGGAAACAGGCAGCATTTCTCGGGGGCGCGACGGTGGCGCTCCCACCGACTCGGCGCGCGCCAACTTGGCGTCGACCTTTGTCAACGCGTTCGTGAACGCGGGGTACGGCACGGACAAGCTGATGACGGTCGAAGGCAACGGATGGCTGTACAAGAACAAGGAGCACGGCATGACATCTGCGGCAGCATCCCTTGGCCTACTCATGCTGTGGAACGTCGAGGAAGGGATCACGGCAATCGACAAGTTTTTGTACTCGGGGGATCCCCACGTTAAGGCGGGCGCCATTCTCGGCGTTGGCATCGTGAGTTCCGGCATCCGCAACGAGTGCGACCCCGCGCTCGCCCTGTTGTCCGAGCATGTGGACTCGGGCAATTGCTCGATCCGGTGTGCGTCGGTGCTTGGTCTTGGGATCGCGTACGCTGGTTCATCCCGCGACGACGTTAGCGAATTGCTCATCCCTGTGGTGTCGCACGCCGACGAAAACGCCGACATCCAGGAAGTGAGCTATGCGGCACTAGCGCTCGGAATGGTCGAGGTTGGCACTTGCGACGAAGAAGCGGGAAGCGTCCTCATGCAGCGCCTCATGGAGAGCACCGACGCTGAATTGGACTCGTCCTGCGCGCGCTTCCTCTGCCTCGGTCTTGGTCTCCTCTACCTCGGGTAAACACCTCGATTGGGTTGTGGCGCTCACGTGGGACCCGTGGCTTTGTAGACGCCAAGAACGCGTGGACGCAATGTTGGAAGCTGCCAAGACGATCCAGCACCGCATCTCCAAGTACTTGGAAATCACGCTCGAAACCTGTGCATATGCCGGAACGGGCAACGTGCTCAAAGTCCAACAGTTGCTCCGTGTGTGTGCGACTCACGTTGTGGACGATCCCAAGGAAGGCGCACATCAGCTGGCGGCGGTGCTTGGCATTGCGCTTGTGACGGTCGGCGAGTCCATCGGGAGTGAAATGGCCGTCCGCACGTTCGACCATTTGCTCCAGTACGGCGAAGTCAACGTCCGCCGCGCAGTGCCGTTGGCGCTCGCGCTCCAAAGCGTGTCCAACCCCGAGTATTCGCTCATCGATACACTGTCCCGCCTCACGCACGACGCGGACGCGGGTGTCGCCCAAAGCGCGATCCTCGCGCTCGGCCTTGTCTCTGCCGGGACCAACAACTCGCGCGTGGCGGGGCTGCTGCGTCAGCTGTCTGAATTCTACAGCCGCGAGGCCAACCACTTGTTTGTCGTGCGCATCGCCCAAGGCTTCCTCCACATGGGCAAGGTATGCATGCCCTTTATCGCGCCGACGTTGTAATCTTCTGTCTAGGGCCTGATTTCGCTGCACCCGTTCCACTCGGACCGGTTGATTCTGTCGCGCGTGGCGCTGAGCGGTCTCTTGGCCGTCCTCCACGCCGCGCTCGACATGGAGAAGACCATCTTTGACAACTCGCACTACTTTTTATACTGCATCGTCACGGCCATGCAGCCTCGCATGCTCATCACGGTCGACGAAGAAGGCAAGCCGTTGCCCGTGTCTGTGCGTGTGGGGCAAGCGGTGCGTGCGCGCGTGGTGTGTGCAATTTTCGAGGACTCAACGCGGTTTGGTGCAGGTGGAAGTTGTCGGCCAGGCGGGACGGCCCAAGTCGATCACGGGGTTTCAAACACACAACACCCCCGTGCTGCTCAACGTGAAGGACCGCGCCGAGCTCGCCACGGACGAGTACATTGCGCTCACGAACGTGTTAGAAGGCATCGTGATCTTGCGCAAAAACCCAGACTTTCAGCCCGATGCGTAAAACGGGTCGATCGCGTCGTCGCGTTTCAATATACCAGCATGCCGCGAGGATCTTTAGTCTTTTCGAGTTAAAGAGTCGTTTACCGCCACTTTGCCGACGACGCGCGCCGCGGCATGAGGTTGGTCGCGGGCATATGCGGTGGCGCCTTGGTGTCTGGCGGTGGGACCTTCTTGAACAGGTCGGTCGCATGGTTGGTCGATCCTTTGGGTGCCGGTGGACGTGGCTGCTTGGCAGGCGGGGCGGTTGTCATTGTGGGCTTCTTTTTGATTCCTGACGGCATCGGTGGAGTCGTGGAGGTCGGTTTAGAGGTGGTCAGTCTGTAATTGGCAACGCCTGCAGACGGAGGTGCCGTCTTGGGTCGGACGGCGGCCGAGTTGTTGGCAGACGAAGCAGGCAATGGGCCAGAAGTTCGCATGCCCTGTTTGGACCCAGAGGTGGCGGTCGTAGGCAGACGAGTCGACGACGTTGAGTCGCTTCGACTGGTGTCGGCAGGACCTTCCACCCCACACGACGATTTCGACATGCGCTTGGGCGGCATCCCACGACATGCCATTGGCACCGCAGTGCTGGCGACGCCAGAGCCGACCGACGCCACGCTGGATTCGACAACGACTGGCATGGCATACCGACCTTGCGACGCTTTCATGGTCTTGGCATTGCGCGAGGACTTAGTGTGCTGGAGGTAGCGAGGATGGTTGTTGTTGGCCCTGTTGGCGCTGGATTTGAACGCGTCCGCGTCGGGTTTTTCGGTCGGACTGTGCTGGTTCTGGGACAGGTCGTCGTGTAGCTGGTACGACGCCGGGGCCGCCGGTGCTGCTTTGGACAGTTTGATGTGATGGCTTGGAAACGACGATCGGTGCTGCATCGGCGGCGGCTGAAAGACTTGCCGGGGCTGTTCCGGTTCATGCTGCTGCTGCTTGTCAAACAAAGGCATCGAGTCGTGAACAACGCGCTTGTCGGGCTGTTGTACGGACTTTGGGGGCGGCACCTGTCGTGCGGAGACCCACGACGACAAGGGCTTGTCAAAGTCGGTGTCATGGCTCATGCCCGGGTCGGACAAGGACAAATCCCACGAATCGTCCTCCTTCGGGTCGGTCAGTCTCTCGTGCTCCTCGTCCTCGGACAGCGAGAGATCGACGTCGTGCACGGCGCGCGATTCCTGCGGAAACGATCGTTACCACGACCATCTCTTTCAGCAAGTTGCAGTACCATCGCGACGCGCGATGCCGCAGGGGATGTCGACGGCCGTTGACTCATTGGAGCGGCTTCAGTGTCAACCCAACCATTGCCCTGCTCGACACGTCAGAGAACGGCCCGTTTGTGGCGATGCGTACGGCGATGAGGGAGCTGTACGAGGCGCTGGGAGGACGTTCGAGCTTGGTAAAGTCGTAGTGGGGATTGCCTTTGCGCTATGGAACGCGTGATTAGCACGACGGAGGTTACGCCATCGTGGTGTACGATGTGGGGGCACAAGTCGATCCAAACGAGTCGCTTCTTCTTGAGCTTGCGCGGCGCCGAGTCGTGGGGTAGCGCGATGCCGTTGGTGACATTTAGGAACGTGTTGACCAGGACGAGCTCGTCCGTTTTCGGATCTGGTTGTTCCGTGGATCAGCGCTGAGATGAGCACATGGCACCACCAACCAGTGTGGGCGGGATCCCATTCGTTGCGCTTCTTCTCCGGCGCTCGATGTTTCTTTTGGAGCTGGGCGTCGAGCATGGCGAGCTGGTCCAAGTACGCGTTGTGTGGCGCAATGTCCGGCCGCTTCATCTTGACGTACTCGTACGCCTTGTCCAGACTCCTACAGCGGTGGTGAGCCGTCACTAGATGGTCAAGGGAGCGTACCAATGGTACTTGGACATCAAGTACGCCATCATGACGCATGGGCTGCGTGACATTCCGTCGAGGGAGTGCACAAGGAGACTCAGGCTAGACTGCACCGCATGGTCAATGAAGTCGATAAGGTCGACGAAGTCTGCATTGCGCAAGTCAAACAGGATGCCTTCAGGCTGCTCCGCCATGTCGCATGCAAAGTACCTACGACATAGAGGAGACCGCAATGAGGCGACGCGCAGCAAAGTGGCTCCTGTACCGAATGCCTTCCGACTCGAACACGTTGGGGACTTCGCGTGGCACACAGTTCACAATGAACTCGATCCCGTTCAAACTGAGGAACTCAGAGTCTTGCGCGGCATCAATGTCTCCCATGAATAGACCATTGTTGATCTTGGTGGACATCTCCTACTCTGCTGGCATGTGCGGCACTTGTCGGCGATGCTGACGATGTTACGATAATCGCATTCTCACCGCCATCTTCAGCCTATATCGAATGGACCAATCAACGCAGAGGGTTCTATAATTATCTTCGACAAAATAGTGGTCAAAATATCACATATTTGTTCCACATTAACGGTTTTGTCCAACACAATGGGCTCAAACAACCGAGTTCAGCGTCGCGTCCGGCGCATGGCCAAACAAGCTCAAGTCGAATGAAGAACAGTTTCTGGCCCACACACAACGTGTTATGTCTTGTCCGACCGAAATGGATTGGTTGCTGCACTACTTGCGATTCTGTTGGGCGATGGTCGCGTCATCTGGAGCATCCATAGCAGCATCGACTCAAGAGAATACCCCACCATGTACTATGTCAGATTTGCGAAAGATGAATACGTACGGGGATTCGTCATGTTCATGAAAGGTGAGATATTTTTTGTCTGCATGTCTCACCACGCTTTTGCTATGTCTGCGCACGCCGACACCGAGGAGAAAATTCTACATTATAGGCAGAATTGGCTCTCATGTTCTTCTGTGCAGGCTAATGCATCATAAAATTCGTTTTAACATTTGACGCACAGGTTGCATCATAAGATAAGTATGTCGCCCAGGAAATCGAAATATTGAAACACTGAAGGTTCAGATACTCGTCGGATTTCATGCCCCTTATCGTTGCGACTGGGTCCACCTGAACTCTAGACATGCATTCCCGAGTGTCGACATGCGTTGGAGCAGTGAATGGCCCAGAGTGTCTCGGCAGGATGGTGTCGGCGGGGCCAAGATGATAATTACATCGCGAAATCTTCGCATTCGAGATGTCACAGCCAAGTACTTGCGCAATTTGTACCCACACTCCGCGTTCTACGACCCCAAGACCCGTTTGATGCGCGACAATCCGAACCCGGACCTGAACGTGGACGAAGTTACGTTTCCAGGGGAAAATACTTTACATTGCTCGGGCGACGCCATCATGCTGGCCAAGACGAAGCTGTTCGCATGGGAGGCAACCGAGAAGGACATGACCCAAGACGGCGAACTCCATCCGCAAGCAACTCCGCCGCTGAGTTCATGCGCCAGCAGTACGAAGAGAAAGAGCTCAAATTGGAACAGGTAGAACGACTTGCCACGGTCGAAACGAACGGCGAATAGACGCCGTCGCCGCCCAAAGTATTGCTCATCGCCGCGTCCGACTCCCACGGCGAATATGCACGCGACGGTCGAGTGGTACGTGTACCTGCATCTTGTGTGAACGAAGTGCATTTTTGCTTTCTGAATGAACTGCTTTGGGCTGGCGTGGCCTTGCCAACGTCGGGAACGACGGTGTTGGGTGGATCATTCCGATCCAGATGAAACACTTCTCTCCACCCGAGGTTGCCTCTGCACAATGTAGAATGGTGCTTGATTGCGTGGAGTTGTGGAATCATCTCAGCGGTGGTGGATTGCTCAAATAAGAATCGGGTTCGTTGACTGCATTTGTAGTTGAAAGGCGTGGAACGAGCTGTAGCCAAGAATAAAGATATCGAAGAAGTGCTGGAAAACAACCACATGCAAGTTTGGGGCAGTTGGTAAGACAAGCTTGCACAGGCCTGGAGGTGTGCGTGTTGAACCCCGTCAAATTAAAGAATGCTGGACCCTGTCGAGTTGAATGAAGCGAAGAAGCTCAAGGAAATTAAATGGCAGAAAGTGCCAGTACTTGTCCATGCAAGACGTCGGCGTTGATTGGAAACCATGGAGGTTTACCAGATGAACAAGTCGAAGCGAGAAGATCCGATGGCTCAGTTCCTCGCCTACAATGAGCTGTTACTCACATGTAGGACAGAGTATCTTGTGATGACATGCACGATTTCCATTGGTAGACGACGGGATATCGTTGTGCCGCCTTAAGTGTTGTCAAGGTGGGCCAGAGCGGGGACGTGCGTGGAAGCCCATTGTTACTGTAACCTGAGGTGCTACTGCGTCGCCCCAGGGTGTCCTGACCGATGCATGTCGCTATATTTATTTCTCAGGGATGTGCACAATGTGAACGAATGAAGAAGTGTCCTTTGACATCCGCGTCACAAAACGTAGGTCCCACCGCGACCTTGTGTCGCTGACAGTCGTCGACGCGTGGTTGGGAGAGCGATGTTTTATGCCTCGAATTCAGTGCCATGGTGTTGGCGCCATCTGCATGTGTTTGTACTCGCTGCATGGATATCTCGCAACGTTGTCCAGGTCGTGATGAAGTTGGACGAGACAATATCGTAGATTGATGTCGAATAAACGCCAAACTGCGATCGGACAGGTGCTGCGACACTTTGCCCAGCGTCCCGGCAGTGTCGATCATGTGGTCAACTATAATGCCGTTGGACCCGCTGGCTTTCCCGACCAAGTACATACGGTCGATATTCGTTGGCCTTGATGGTTGCTTGATCATCAGGGCAAGACTGACGTTCTCAATGTCTGCCTTGCCCACGAGCCACTCGCGGAACTTCTTGAAGCGGGCGACACCACGATTAACGGCAATGATGCGGGCACATTGCTGGTCGTACGGAGCACATCCATCACATTGTGCGTCAGATAACTCCATAGATTGTCCACGAGTTATCGCTGGTGAGTCCAAGATGGACACGTGACGTCATTCGCTGCTCCAGCGCATGTCGACACAATACAGTCCACCACGGCCCCTACTCCAAGCCCCACGGATTCCACTGTGGCCCCCACTCCAAGCCCTACAAATTCCACCACGGCCCCTACTCCAAGCCCCACAAATTCCACTGTGGCCCCTACTCCAAGCCCCATACATTTTGCACCATCTCCAAAATATAAATTCTAACAGACGGATGGAAACCCAAAGAAAACGCAAACATAAATTTATAAAGTGATCTTAGTGCTTTCAAATGACCTCTGAAGACTTTACACATCAAGTACTTGACGTCGAATCGTATTATGCAGTTGATTCATTTTGAGTGGGGTGCAAAATGTGAGGTATCACTGTACTCGGGGACACATGTCTAGAGCCTAGGTGGATCCATTCGCAACGAAAGGGGTACATGAGAGATCCGACGAGTATCTGTATCTTCAGTGTTTCAAACCATGTTTCGACTCCTAGGCGGCATGCTCAATGTATGTTGCAATCTGTGCGTCAAATGTTAAATCGAATTTTATATAATGCTGTTGACGAGAAATACAAGAGAGCCAGTTCACTCGTGTAAGTAAAATTGCCTCCCTCACCGGATGTTGGACTGTCCCAGAGTGTGTTTCCGTTGTAGGGACCGATGCCCAACTTGACTCCCAACGCTTTGACATGACGTCCGTGCGGCCGCAACATGCTGCGGCGGCGGCGGCCATCAAGCCCTGGCAGTATGCATCAACCTGCCATGCATGTCGACGCCCGTTCGGACTCTTTTCCAGCCGCCACCACTGCCGCAACTGTGGCCACTCGGTCTGTGCTGTTCACTCAAAGTACAAAGTAGAGCTGCCGCTTCTGAAAGGGCCCCAGCGGGTCTGCAATCAGTGTCATATGGCCTTGCTTGCGTGCAGGCCAAAGGAGCGCCATGTGATCAGAAGGGTGCCAGCGCATCCGCTGCGGTCGCAATCGGCGGCGTTGCGGCGATACCCTTGGGAAACCCCACGCGAAACGAGCGAAGTGTTTCAATGGGACCACGAGTCCCCACTTGACCCGGTGGCGTCGCTGAAGCAGCGCCGGTGGACCCCTGCCGACAACACAACGACCAATTCGTCCGTTGCCAGGAGCTCGTCCTCGACCGCGTCGACCGCGTTGCAGAAATCCATGCAGTACTACAGCGCGCCCCACATTGTCGATCGAGGATCTACCCCCAACGCCGACTCGCCCACGGCGTCCGGTAATGGCGCAAACGAAGAAGCTCTCTGGCGCATCTCGAGGACATCAGAAATGCCCTCACGTTGGACAGCCCAACTGAACCAACGCGCCCCGCAGCTCAATTTAGATCCAGACGACGTCGCCATCGAGGTCGCACCACCGTGCAGCACCTTCGACTTCACCAAATACTCCACTGCATCGAGCGATATCATGGACTTCGTCCCAGTGCGTCCCCACGCGTCCGAGTTGTCCCGGTCCCCTCCTCAATCGGTCTGCCACACACGAGCAACATCGCATGACACCTCAGGTTTGCCCGACGTACCTACCATGGCCATCTTGATCATGCAAAAGCGAGCTTTGGAAGTTGACGTCGAGCGCTTACAAGCCAAGCTGGCGGACTACCGGGCAGCCGCTGCACGCGAATGCAGAGCGCGGCGTCGCCTACGCCGCAGGTCAAAGGCCAGACGTGGTCACATCACCGCTGCCAACGGATACGTCGACCAAGGCGAGTACTTCTATGCGCAGCTGGAGCTCAAAAAGGCCCTGGCACTTGATGACAAGTGCTGGGCCACATGGCATGCGCTAGCCGAATGTTTGTTGAAGTGCCACTGGCCTAATGAAGCTGCGCTAGCGTGCCAGGTGAGCCTGGAGCTCGCGCGCACCCCTGTGGCAGTTGCATTGCTCGGAAGGATTCGACTGCGCCAGCAGAGGCTGAGCGAAGCCATAGCTTGTTTCCACGAAGCTCTCGAGTAATTTATTCTGTCAGACCCATTTCCTCCATCCCTTTGCGTATTTACTGCATCGTGCGCTCGTACACCAAAAACAGCACGCCTCGCCACAGTCGCGTCGCAGCCTTTGAGAAGAAACTGAGGCCGTCCGAGTTGAAGTTGCACTCTAGTGAAGTCATTCGCACAGGCTCTGCGCCGTTGACTCGCCCACGTCGATTAGGTGAGTCATTATTCAAGACACGGAGTCGGCGATCCCTCCAGTCATGACAAAGTTGAACGGTGTTCGTTTGCTTCGTCGCCGCCGCCGGCCAAAGCTTGCATCATCATATTATACGCGTAGAAGTACGACCCAAATGCGGGAACGTCGCGCACTTCCGTGAGAGCCTTTCCTCGGTACAGTCCTTTGTATGCACCATATTGGCACGCCATGCTTTGAGCGCATGCCAATGCATTGTGAAGGGCTGTGGTCTTGTTCACTTGCATGGTGATCTTAACGAGCTCGGTCCGTGCGGCAACGACGACTTGGGACATTCCTGCCAGTGATCCGGTGACACACTGTAGCGCTGACGGCATAGATTCGTTCGTCAATGATCCAATTGCCCGACACCTGCTCTTAAACGAATGAAGCGACATGGATGGGGGGCGTTGGACAAGATTGGCGACAGAAGGTCTTCGTACAGACCGGTCACGCCGTCCACAACGACAATCGACTGGAACGTCCGCACGATGCTACTGCGCTGAGCTTGGATCTGAAGGAGCACCTTGATTGTGTCGAGGGGGTGTCCTGCTGTGATTCACGAACTGCCTTCGACCGTGCCTGCATAAATGTCCTTGGCCACGCCGGCCCATTCCATCTCGACGAACCGAGGTCTTGCGACCGCGGCGGTTTCCACGGCCCTACACAACGGACATCCGGATAGTTTATCCGGTAATCCCTGTGAAACATGTCTCCATCAATTTTCCCACCAGCGCATCATGGAAAAATCGGTCCGTACGGCATACAAGAAGCTCATCAAGCTTGCGCAGAGCCTTCCTGCCGAGCAAAAGCCCGTGGCGCTGGATAAGGTTCGCCATGAGTTCCGGTCCCATGGCGTTATCACATCCTCTGACCAGTGCGGACCTCTCGCTCCATGTCCACCACTCACGATCGATTGTTGGTAGACTGGACAAGATTGTGATGAAGGCTCAGTCCAAAATCAGCTACCTAAAAATCGTGACGCCCAAGCGCGCTCCTCGTATGTGCATGAGTCGTTGCATTGTTTCACCTGGCTGTGGATGCAGAAACGAGTCCACAACGATACATCTACAAAGACGGGAAACGATTGGACCCAGGCTGCATCGATCAGAGTACCAACGCAACCATCAAGACGGTCGACTTCAATGCCATGATGGAGCGTCATGTCAAGTTGGTCCGTCGACAGCATTTTATGGATCGAAAGTAGAGGTTGCTACATTCTTGGTCAAGTCATTTCTGCCTTGAGCACTGACTCGACGAGCTTCGCCTCCTTCGTCACACGCTCATCGACGCTCGTCACCTTTTGGTCAATGCGATCGACCTGCTCCGTCGTGCGGGTCGTAATATCGCTGATCGTGTCGGCGGTCTGACCCAGCTTGGCCAGAATCTTGGACAGCTCGTCAAGCTGATCCTCCTCTTGCTTGGGCTGCGGCTGGGGTGGATGCAACTTCACCTGGACGCCCTACAAACCACTTTTAGATTGCATGCGCACACACACGACATGTCGTACTCTAGGTACGCGACTGCTCCTGGTTGATTTGCCGCCGCCTCGCTTTTTGGACGAGGCTCCTCTCTTGCCACGCTTGGACTTTTTCCGCGAGAAGATGTGAGTGAACTTGTACAAAATTGGGTGCTTGATGCTCTTGCCGAGGTCTTCGGCGCGGTCCATTTGCTTTCCCATTGCATCCACCGTGTTCTCTGCGTCGTTCAGCACCTCTACGTCCGCATGGCGTTAGCGCACACTCGCCGCGGCGATGAAGACATTCGTAACTACCTTCCTGGTATGCCATCTCATCGACCGTAGCGTCGCCGATGCGATCAGCTTCCTTGGCATCGTTGATGGCTTGTTGGAGAAGTTCATGGGATGTCTTCTTGACGTTCTTTATCTGTGCTTCGAGCGAGATCATAAGACCTGCCGATTCCTTGTGTCCTGCGCCGCCGTGAGATTCCATGGAAGGCGATGGTATGTACCTGTGATTTCTTCTATCCGTTGACTTATCGACTTTTGTGGCGACGTGGTCTTGCCCAACGCATTGTGTGCCACGTTGAGCCACTTGGTTTGGTCGATTTGAGTCTCCACGAAGACCATGTACTCCTTATATCCTTGTCCAGGGCAATGGCCGATGAACTTGAACCCGAACGGTTTGACGCTGCCGCCTTCGTCGCTCAGATCTTGCTTTTCGCACTCAGAGAGGACAAACGATCCTTTTGGAGGCCCATTGGACTTGTAAATTTCTTTGCTGTCGTAATATGCCACCAGCAACGTGTCGCCGTGGAGCACCATGTACCTCCGCTTCCATGTCTTCATCATATGTCCTAGTCGTTGGCCCATAGGCAATTCGTTCCACAAGCACGGGACTCCAACCTCTCTTTGTCACGTAACCTTCGCACGATGTCTGGTGGATCTTGGACAAGTTGACATGCATCGTTCACGTTGCCGCAGTGTGCAATGGCCGCGCCGTTTCCCAACTTCCACTGCCTCCTTCGAGCCAAACATCGCCGCAAATGTGGCTATTTATAGCAAATTATCCGGATAAAGATTTCGGCGTCAGGCGGTCGACACTGGCGCTGTCGACGGTCTGGGAGTGATTCCAACATTTGGTTGGCGCAACCATCGAGGCAGATACAGCCTTAGGTACGAAGGGGGGGCATCAGTCTCTCTGTACACCTTCTTCCATGCGACGACGTCCCAAAGACCAAAGAAGGAAGCATGCACCATTCACGAGCGGAATCTCTGCAACGTTGCAGCGGTCATCAACATTGGCATCCTTTTCAAAGGGAAGATGCCTGCCTCGAGCTCATTTTTGGGTGGGAAATTCCCTTACGGGAGCGTGTGCAGGTCAGCTCTCGAGGATTTGTACAACCCCATGGTCACGACAAGGGGGAAATCACCAAGGAAACCACCCATTGTCCCAGATTTGGCAAGCCCCGTGATTGGCCTGTCTCGACCCCCCGCTCCGAGCAGCGACAGTGGAGAAGGGGTCATTTCCACATTTGAACGACCGCGCGGAACCTACTCGGCGCTATGAGCACGAAGCGCCCCACCACGTCGACCTTTATCCGAGCCCTGTACAACCTAACGAGGAAGGGGACCCCGTACGTCGACTGGTCGGTAGATGGTTCGACGTTTCGCATCCTTGACGTCAAGCGGTTTGCCTCGGAAGTCTTGCCCCGGTTTTTCAAGCACAACAACATGGCGAGCTTTCAACGACAACTCAACTACTTTTCGTTCAAGAAGTGGACCAAGAATAATCGGACGATGGGCGCCATGTCGAGGAAGAGTACCATCGCCGAGTTTCACCATCCTTCCTTCACGCGCGACATGGACGAAGGTTTGTTGCCGTATTTCCGAAGAAAAACCATGGCGCGATCGGTCGAACCACTCATGGATGTTTACGCTTATGATTACGAAACAATGGATGGAAGCTCAATAAATCACGTCAAGAATGAATCGCTGGAACACAAGATGTCGCCGAAATCCAAAACCAAGAAGGGGCGACGCTCTACACATTGCTCGCTCCCCTTGCCCCACAGAGAAGACTCCGCCCCGACGAGACCTGCACCATTGACAAAAGGTCCAAAAGAACTCTCATTCCCGCCGCCGGCGATACAGTTTGAGCCCATCAGTTTCAACTCTGGACGCCTTCAAGGAGAGCAGCCCTGTCTGGATGCGGGCACGGGACAGTCTGTGCTTCGACATGGCGCTTGCTTTGACCATACCATCGACATCTCATGGGGGCAGTGTGACACTTGGCAAGCGCCTGCTCTCGTTGTGGTCGCAGCGTCAGGAAATGACATCGACTGGTTCGCCAACTTCGACTGGGAAGCGCACGACGACATCATCCCAACAGCAGGGGTACTGTATCAGGAGCACAGTGTCGACAGCGCCGAGGCCGACAACACGTGCGACATGGTCACGGTGTGAGGCCCCATGAACCCTCTTCTTCTAGTTGTAGTGTGTATCGACCTCGTGGTCGTGCTGAACATGGTTTGTGTCTTTCCGTTCGACAGACGCAATGTCATCGTCATGGCAAGTTGGCCTTGACTATCCAGATAATAAATCTATCCGGATGATTACACGACGCCGTCTTCAGCAGCCAATGAAAATGCGCCTTTGACGCCGCAAAAACCTCGCAGTTTCGACTTTGCCAGCGCAATAGCAGGCAGCAGCAGCATGTGCATCGCGTTCTTTCAGCTATCGACGTACACGGACCCAAGCGGCGGCCAGCACGTCAAGTTCATTGCTGTGGACAACCGAGACGAGTTCTACACACGCGAAACGAGCCCCATGCACTGGTGGAGTGAGCCGCACACCGGCATCTTTGCCCGTATGTGAGAGTTGAACCTGATCGACACGATATCACCGTGACTGTGCGAGTAGCGAGAGATCTCGAGCGCGGTGGAACCTGGCTTGGCTTGCGACGATCTCAACCCGATGGACCTGTGCGTGTCGCCTTCCTCACCAACATTCGCGTTGCCGTTCCCCCAAAAGAGAAACAGAGTCGCGGCGTAAGTGGTGCATCCGATGGGACTGATGGCGAGGACCGGGTTGTCTTGACTTTGCGTGTGTAGAACGTCGTGACCGAATTTCTCCAGAGCGACTTGAGTGTGTCCGCCTTTGTCGCGCGGCTTCAACCGGTGGGTTGCAACTACGGCGGGTTCAATCTCGTGCTCTTTGACGGCGTGTCCTTGGGCTACTATTGCAACTTGAATCCCATGGGGCCTGTTCCTGAGTTCACGCTTCTGGAGCGGGACGTCCTGTACGGGCTCTCCAACAGCGTGTTGGATGTTCCATGGATCAAAGTCGTGCGCGGCAAAACGGCACTCGCTGAAGTGCTGGCGAAACACGAAGACAACGACGATGCAGCGTTATGTCAAAAGTTGATCGTCCCAATGGTGGACACGACGAGGATCGAAGTCCCAGACCTCCTGCCACAAACAGGTCCGTCGAACTCTTCGGCATTGCTACGACAGTCCAACACGATAGTGACTTGTAGGATGCCCACCCGCACTTGAGTATCAGCTCTCGAGCATATTTGTCGAGCCTGTAGATCACCCCAAGTACCCCAAGTATGGCACCCGCACGACGATCGCAATGGTTGTCGATGGAGCTCATGCCACCATCCTCGAGAAGGACCTGGACACCTCAACTCTGCAGTGGAACGAGCATACGTATTCCTTCTAATGTTGAAAGGAAGAAACATGTATGGAAGTCCTCGACGGCGCAGGCATCGATGCACAGCGGCTCGACGTGGCGTGCGTCTCTGTGGCATATTTGTTTGTATTTTTGCTTCCGAACGCCGCGATATTCGGATAGATATGTTTATCCGGACACCGGTGCCACGATTCCTCACCACAGAACGATGGTTGGATTTATTCCCTTGGAAGTGGATATCAATTTATACAGGTCTAAATCGTACCCACGCCAGAAATCGAACCACATCCCCCACGACAAGGACAATGAGCAACGTTCCACCTGCGCCCTCCGCGACTTCCACGAACCCTTCCATCCTGCCCGGTGACGATGACGACTGGAAGCGCACTCTAAAAGCCCCCGAAAAGGACACCCGCTTCCAGACTGAAGATGTCACGAATGTTAAGGGTACGTGGAAAGCAAGTAGCACGTCACGGTGACGAAGAATCCCTGACTGTCATCCACCATGCCGATGTAGGCAACGACTTTGAAGATTACTTTTTGAAGCGAGAACTCCTGATGGGCATATTTGAGAAGGGTTTTGAACGACCGTCGCCGATCCAGGAAGAAGCGGTGCCCATCATCTTAGCTGGGCGCAACGTTATGGCCCGCGCAAAGAACGGCACAGGGAAAACTGCTGCGTTCATCATTCCGTGTCTGGAAAAGACCGACACAACAAAAGCTCACATTCAAGTGATGATCCTTGTCCCGACCCGTGAACTAGCACTCCAAACTTCTGCCATCGTAAAGGAAATTGGCAAACACATGGGCGTCGAATGCATGGTGAGCACGGGCGGCACAAGTTTGAAGGACGACATCATGCGCTTGTACAACACGGTTCACATTCTCGTGGGCACTCCCGGCCGCATCATGGACTTGGCCAACAAGGGTGTTGCGGATCTGAGCCAATGCTCAACTGTCATCATGGACGAAGCCGATAAGCTGCTCTCTCCCGAGTTCCAACCCCTTCTCGAACAACTGGTCAACCACACTGCCCCCGGCCGACAAATCTGCCTCTTTAGCGCCACCTTTCCCGTCACTGTCAAGTCATTCAAGGACAAATACATTGAAAACCCGTACGAGATCAACCTCATGGACGAGCTCACGCTCAAGGGCGTGTCCCAATTTTATGCTTTCGTCGAAGAGCGCCAGAAGGTGCACTGCCTCAACACGCTCTTCTCCAAGCTCGACATCAACCAAAGCATCATTTTCTGCAACTCGGTGAACCGCGTCGAGTTGCTAGCGAAAAAGGTGACCGAGCTCGGGTTTTCCTGTTTCTACATCCACGCCAAGATGAACCAAGCCCATCGCAACCGCGTCTTCCACGAGTTCCGGAACGGAGCGACCCGGCACTTGGTGTGCTCCGACCTGTTTACACGCGGGATCGACATCCAAACCGTGAACGTCGTGATCAATTTTGACTTTCCCAAGAACTCGGAAACGTACCTCCACCGCATCGGGCGCTCGGGCCGGTTCGGCCACCTCGGGCTCGCGATCAACATGATCACGTACGAAGACCGATTCAACCTGTACAGAATCGAGCAAGAGCTTGGCACAGAAATCCGCCCGATCCCTCCCGTTATCGACCGCAACCTGTACTGCAAATAGATGGCTCGTCCTGACGGCAACCATGCTGCTTGGCGCGACTTGCGCGATCGAGATTGCGTGGCGTCGGCGGGACTTAGAGATAGGAACGTAGTTAGGAACACGTGCGGGTATCGTCGCCGAAGGAAACGCGCAGCTTGGCGGACGAGGAAGGAAAAATTAACACCAAAAAACACAAAAAAAGGCCTTGGCCACGAACCTTTTTTGAAACGGCGGCCGTGTAACGGATAGAACGGCTTCGTCCGACGACGATGGTGATGCCGGCGCCGCGACCGCACCTCCGCAGCAACAACAATGTGAGCCTGAGTCCCCTCCACAGCAGCAGCAACAACCTGAGGGAAGCTTTCGCCCTCGACACTGTCGCCACATTGAGCGCGTCGTCCCCGAAACAACAGAGCAATCGCAACAACGCGTTCCATTCTGCGAGCGTGGCGTCCCCAAAGAACAAAGGAGGCGTCATGATGCCACCGCCGCCCGTCACCGTGCAGGGAGGCGAGTCGCACCTCCACCATCCTCGACGGCGAGAGCTTCCACCGCACACTAACAACCATCAACCAGAAACAAACACAGACGACGCGGGAGACACTGGACTCACCTTGGACGAGCCCAACGAACTGAACGAGACGGAAGAAGAGACAGAAGCGTTCAAACGGGCGATGTGGGCAGGCCAGGCTAACATTTTGGTCGCCGTGCGTCTGCGCCCTCAACTCAAGCACGACCGCGACCGAGGTGAGATAGTCAAGGTGCTGGGGAACAAAGTCGTGGTCGTGATGGACCCCGGCAACCAAAAGGATGTCGTCGGCAAGATGCGTCATCGGTCGCGCGAGAAGCGCTACGCTTTCGACTATGTGTTCTCGCCGTTGGACGGCCAAGAGACAGTGTACAACAACACGACAAAGTTCCTCATCCACGGCATTCTACAAGGGTTCAACGCGACCGTGTTTGCCTACGGCTGCACTGGTGCTGGCAAAGTACGTGTCATCTAGACATTTTTTTCTTGCACGATCGCGTTCGATGTAGACGTACACGATGCTCGGGACGCCGGACGAGCCTGGGATCATGGCGCTGACCCTCGACGACTTGTTTCAGCATATTCAGGCGGGTCAGTCCCGAGTGCCCAACTCGGTGGGACAGCCTTCAGCTCTGGACGGGGCGCGCTAAGTGTCGCGCTAGGTCAACTACCGCGTGACGGTGTCGTTCCTGGAAGTGTACAACGAAAACATTCGCGACTTGCTGCGGAGCGACCCGGATCAAGACACGTACTTGGATCTGCGAGAAGACCCTGTCAAGGGCCCACTAGTCGCCGACTTGTCCGAGATCGTTGCGTCGAACGCGGAGGAAGTCATGCGGTTGCTTCGTCGAGGGAATAAGAATCGATCACAGGAAGCCACGGCTGCCAACGCCGTCTCGTCCAGGAGTCACGCCGTCCTGCAAGTGTCTGTCGAGCAGACGGAAGCAACTCCAGGCATGGTGTCTGTCCTCAAGGTATCCTTCACACGACTGCGCTCTCTCACGCACTTGGACTCGACTCTGACGAGTCACGTCCCGTAGACGGGAAAACTCTCCATGATTGACCTGGCAGGCAGCGAGCGAGCCGCCGTGACTCAAAATCGGTGAGGCATCTTGTAGCAATCACGTTTCGAACAGAGGTGGCTGGTTAGGGGACTGCGGTTGATTGAAGGGGCTAACATCAACCGGTCGTTGCTGGCCCTTGGGAATTGCATCAATGCACTGGGCGAAAAAGCCAATCGCGGCGCGTTCGTGCCATATCGAGACAGCAAGCTCACGCGGCTGCTCAAAGACTCGCTCGGTGGGAACTGCCGCACCGTCATGATCGCCAACATCAGCATGTCCGTGCTGTCGTTCGAAGAGACAGTCAACACGCTCAAGTCGGTGCTTCTCTCGATGTGGCGTCGATTGACGCTAGTTCACGATAGGTACGCGAACCGGGCGAAGAACATCAAGACCACCGTGACCCGCAACGTCCTGAATGTGAACCACCACATATCGGAATACGTGTCGCTGATCGCGAATCTGCGCCAAGAGATTACAAATCTCAAGACTCAAATGACGCAGCAAGGGATTCCATCGCCCACGAGCCATGACCTGAAAGCGCCAAAGGGGGCGAAGAAAGATGGTGGTGACGAAGCGAGTTCGTCTGGGGAAAAAGGCGGCACGGCCTCGATGCGCGAAGTACGGAATCGAGACGTCATTTGTTGGAACTCAAGCTGTGTGTCTAGGCGCGAGTGCAAATCATGAAGTACTTTCACGAACGCATGATGTTGAGGCGGCAACTCTTGGAGCTCGAAAACAAGGTATGGACGGACAGTGAGCTCGAGGCGGGCGTGATCCGACTCGATGTAGAACGTCGCCAAGAGTATTGAGATTGGACAACACCAGCTCGTCGTGGCAGAACACGAGCGTCAGCGTGAAGAGAAGGAAGAAGAGAAAGCAGCGGCCACGGCGCTCGCGCACGACGATACCCGCGTCGAGTTCGAAGAGTTTGACGACGAGGCTGACATTGTGGTGGCGAAAATGGAGATTGGCAGACTGCAAGACGACATCAAGGACCTGTCGACAGAAAAGAGCGAGCTCACGCGCAAGTTGCGGCACACGGAGCGAGCTGCGGAGGAGTTTCGGTGGGTCGACGACGTTACCTTCACACACGATTGAATGGAGACTGGATAGAGCTGCGCTGGAGCACACAATCACGAACGACGAGAAGCGCGAGCTCCTCTTGATGGAGTATCGCATTGGAAAACTGGAACTGGAGAACATGGAGCTTGAGCAATCCCGAACGGTCCAAGACACGATCTCCCGCGGCAAGGACTTGACCATTGAGAAACTCAAGCTCCAGCTTCGGGTACGATTTAGTATTGTAAATTTTTGATTGGTGGATTATTTTTCATGCAATTCTGATTGGTGGACCATTATCCAAAGTAATTCTCTGGTTGGTGGATTCTTCAGCTGAGGGATAAAATCATTCAAAAACAACAAGCGATCTTGGACAAGCACGACATTGGGCACGAAGTTCGGTACGGCATCTTGGACACGCTAGAAGATGCGACGCTCACGGATGGCTTCGACACTTTGCGGTTGTCCATGGAACGCATCAGCTCCCCCGCCGCACTGGAGCGCCCACAGGTGTCGGCAGGGACGGAGCGAAGTGTGGTGCTTCCCGACATTCACAAGCAACCTGGCAACGATTCGGTCAAGTCACCGGTCGACCGCATGAGCTTGTCGCAGTGGCAAAATCAAATCGACAAGGCAGTGTCGCTGAAAGACTGGCCCAAGCAGCGCACAGGACCAGTCGCCGACACATCCATGCTACCGGCCATCATTGCTCGCCACAAAAAGAAAAACGCCCCCAACATTTCAGCCCCATATCTCAAAGTGCTCAAGCATCGACGAAAGCGAAAGTCGTCGGCCGTGAAACCTATCTCGGCTCAATCATCGCCTGACCAACTCTGCACCAGCACTGATCTAGCTGCCCTGAGTCCCTCTAACGTGTAACTCAACAGCTACTACAGTCGAGTTTACAAGGGCAGAAGCACCACCATCTTGAGAGTGCTTGCTGTGAACGTGTGAAGGGTTTGACAAGCAGAACTCACTTGTGAACAATGATGTCTCCGACAACTGGTTACATGAACGTCTAGAGCCACGCAGAGAGGTCTTGAACACCATCTGTATCGATCTTGATGGCGGCATCGGCGTCAACTACCTCACCACTCGAGGTAACAATCACGACGCTAGGAATACCACCCACACGTTCGCTCACGCCAACAGCCTCCATCTCCTTCTTGGCGCAGATTTTGAACTAATTGGTGCGTCAGAATTCGCTCGATTTTTCGTGCGAGTTATGTACCTTTCGCTTCAACTCGTCTCGAATAGGATCGTCAAATGGAACCGCAAGCCACGGACCTTGCTTGTTCCGGAAGTGGGCGAGCTGGTCGTCTTCATTCGCGTCCGAACTTATGAATACCACGTCGAATTGATGTGCTTGTTCGTTCACCTTGGAGTAAAACTCGTTGAGCTTTGGCTGAAAGTCACGGCATTCAGGGCACCAATCCGCCTACATTCGTCGGTACGTGCCACGTCAGAGGCGCTGTTCATGTTCATTGAAGCTTCTCGCACCGCAAAGTACAGAGCAAGCGTCTTGGCCGCAGGTTCTTGGATGGCCCCCGCCGCATTGACGAGCTTTGTGTGCTTCAAGAAGTGCGTCATGTTGCCGTCGAATTCGAAAGTTCTTCGATCGCCGGTGTAGTTCTTGTGGTATTTGGATAGCTCAATCTCAGCGTGGATTGGTCATCTAAATATGAAATTCTGAAATCGAAGTGTTTGATTGGCTGATGAGCTTCGCTTGTGTCATGGAGTTTTGATGGAATTGGTATCTTTTTGACCAATCGAATGAAAGGTTTTGTATAAGGGAAAATCAAGCTAACTCGATGCGAAACAGTCAATCCGTCGGCAAAACGAACAATGAAGCGAATTCTCAATTCGCTTAAAACGTACTTCGCATCCGTAACTGCACGAACTGTTAGCGCCAAGAATAGATCATGCGGCATGGTTGGTTTCCTCAGTGTGGGTTGGAAGCGCCTGTTGCGCAGACGCCGTCACATTCGATCAAGCATGAATGACCACCGCCGTCGTAAGCTCCTCTTGGCACAGAAGGTTGACCGCTACGACGGCCAGTCCATCTTCATCAACGGTGAACTGCGCTACGAACTCGGCGGATACCTCGGTGGCGGCACTGCTGGCGTGTACGTCTCGACAACATCGACAACGATTCTTATGCGTCGGATGGCGGTGAATTGTAGGGTCTACGAAGCCTTTTGTCCTTCAACGAAGCAGGTATGCACTCGTGATTCGATCAAGGTCATGTGCACGGAAGCTCATGCTACTTGATGTTCTCAGCATGTCGCCCTTAAAATCCTCAACCCCATCGGGTACAAGCTGATGCCAACGTCACTCCTCGCGCGATGTCTCGTGGCAATCAAGGGTCGTCAAATGGAGCCCGACGTTGTGAATGGACTGCAACCCATGCGAAATGAGTACGTTCATCTCCATTGCGTGCTACGGACGTCTCGGATCTACCACTGAAGTTACCGTCCAGGCATGTGTGGTGGTTGGTGCACCAATCGTCGAAACAAGCTATTGCAGCTTACGAGGACCCGCGATCTGGTGCCGTGAAAGAACTGACGTTGCCGCGGTGCATCGAGGTCTGGGGCACAACCTTTGACGACGACATCGGCGACGACGACAAGGGCGCCGTGCGGGACATCGCCGTCAAAGGACAGCTCTACAAGATACCCTTTGTTCCGAAGAAATTTGTCAAGTTCGCGCGGAACCGGTGCTCGATCTATCGGTTCGTTCACGTTCTCATTCCACGGGATTCACGTCGTCGTGCAGGGAAATCTCAAACATGTCGGAGCTCGACGCACACGTGAATGTGCTTCGGCTGGACGATGCGTTGGAGCTGCAACAAGACAGCAAGTGTACCATCTTCCTCGTCCTCGAGTTGGCGGCGGGCGGCGAACTCTTCGACCGCATCAAGCTCGACTGCGGCACGGACGAAGCGACGGCGCGGGCGTACTTCAAGCAGCTTGTGTCTGGGGTGGCGTTCTGCCATCAGTCTGGCGTGTGCCATCGCGACCTCAAGCCGGAGAACCTTCTTCTCGCGGACAACGAAGAGTTGTCGACGTTGAAAATCGCCGACTTTGGCTTGTCTGCTATTTTTTCCATCACGGAGCACACGAACGGCGACTCGACGACTGCGATCCGCCGCCTGCGCTCGGTTGTCGGGTCGCCGCATTATGTTGCCCCGGAAGTGCTGCAGGATGCGTCTGGACAGGGCTACGACGGCGCCAAGGCCGATGCATGGTCCATCGGCGTCATCTTGTACGCGATGTTGGCGGGCAAGCTCCCGTTTGGAAAGGACCTGCTCAAGTGCGTTCGGTACGACCGATTCAAAAAGTGGTCCCAAGCCACTAAGTACAATGACGACGACGACGACCTGCATGACGATGGGGATTCGGAGGACCCGGCGCAGGAACATCGAGATGCTGTGGTCTTTCCCGACTGGTTCTTTCCCGTGCAGTTTTCGTACGACGTCAAGGCGCTGTTGGCTCAACTCTTATACCCCGATCCATGTCTCCGCTTGTCTGTGGATGAAGCGATGAAGCATCGGTGGGTCCTCGATCGGCCACGGCGACTCCTGCGGCAAACTCATGATGTCCTCCAAGACACGGCGGTGGGGTTGCAAGGTTCTGCTGTGGACGCTCACGACACCGCAACTGCGCTCCAAACGACTTCAGACGTAGGCAGCGTGCTGAAAAACCCACACCAGGACAATGAAGACACAGTGCGATGGCCCCATCAAGTGCAACAGCATCATCATGGACACATTGTTCGCAACATGCACAACTTGCATGTGTCGTTGACATCGCCGCCGCCACCGCCGTCGTCATTGATCCGAAAGACAACGTCGCCGTTGTTTCAAAAGGTTGTGTCCCCACAATCGCTCACGAACTGCAACTCGTCAACGCATCGCGGTCACGGAATGGGGTTGCATCGACCAGGGTACATGCCATCCGTGGACGAGACGGGGCCCCTGCACACACCCAAACACCAAAAGGATCGAAAAGACCAAGCCGCGGAGTGCGAGACCTGCAAGCGTACCAACTGCAGCTGCGACGACGACGTCGCAACGACAGTATTCAAGAGCGATCCGTTCTTGTCGCCTCCGCTTGCGCCCCTTGATGACCCCGTCACCTCGGGCAACCTCGCTCCCCCGACACCCTTTTCGTTGTCTACGTGGTAATTTAATACACGCGTCCATTCGCATCTCGTTCGTCCTTGTGCGCTGTGGCCATGGAGGATCGCGCGCGTCAGCCATGCCGAATTTTTCGTTCACCTAAAATATTCCGGATAAAGGAGGTGATTATCCGTAACGATGGGTTGATTGGAGCGCAAAAACAGAGTTCAACTTGAGAGCAACCAAGATGGGACGCAGCAAGAAGAACGGGACGAGTTTGGGGAAGACTCTGATGAAAACGGGCGCGAAGCCTGTGAAGAAGGAGATACAGTCGAGGTACACAAGCCCATTCCTGTGACCATGCACTCACTCGACCGACCGCAGTGCGGGCAAGCACGTTGCCGTCGCCGACGGAGGGGACGCGACAGCGCAATTGGCGTCGTACTTGGAAGGCTCGTCCCTCGTACGTGCTACACGCGTGACTGCTGAATGAAGATGATGGGCTAGGACGATTTCTTGGCGAATGCGACACTTGCAAACCGAGAGTTTGTTGCCGAGAAGGAGCGCATCGTCGTGCTGGAATCACGCGGCGGTCCTACCCTTGCAACGACGTACGTTCCTTAAACTGATGCAAAGGTCGCGAATCAGTTGACTATGATAGAGATCTGTCTTCGTTGCCGTCGATGAATTTCACGGAAATGAAAGTACCTCGTCGTCCTCATTGGGACGCAACAACGACGCCTGCCGAACTCAACTTGCGTGAGCGCGAGAGCTTTCTCAACTGGCGCCGCGACATTGCCATGTTTGGAAAACAACGCCCTTTGTCTTTCCACTCACAAAGTTCATTGAGTAGCTTGGAGGCGGCGGATGGCGCGCGCGAAGTGACTCCGTTTGAAAAGAACTTGGAAGTATGGCGGCAACTGTGGCGAGTCATTGAGCGCAGTGACATCGTCGTCCAGATTGTCGATGCTCGCAACCCTCTCTTTTACCGGTATTTTTCGACGCCCATCCAGTCTCATGCTCGTTTAGGTCGTTGGATCTCGAGCGCTACGTGAAAGAGGTCGACGCGAACAAGCAAGTGATGCTTATCGTAAACAAGTCGGACTTCCTCACGGCTGCCCAGCGGTACGTTTACGATGGATCTGACCCTGACTGACGCAAGTGCAGCCTCGCGTGGGCTGACTACTTTGCGTCGCAAAACGTCGACTTTGTGTTTTTCTCGGCAAAAGAAGCGCAAGAGTTGCTTGATGCTGAGTACAAAAAGTCCACTATGACTTTGGAGCTGTCGGAAGACGAAGAGAGCGAAGATGAAGAATGCAGTGGCGAAGACGAGAACGCGGAAGAAGTGACACCTGCCATCACCGCGACAACGGCAGTCCCGACACACGCTGTCGACGAAGAGCGCGCCGACTGCAAGGTCCTTACGCGTTTGGATTTGCTGGAGTACATGGAACGCCGGGCCAAGGCCGTGGTCGGCAAGGTCGGTCTCCGCGCGGAAGACCGCGGTCGGGTAAAGTTTGGGATGGTCGGGTTTCCCAACGTCGGGAAAAGTTCCGCCATTAACGCGCTGCTGGGCGCGTCTAACTTTGCTCATCATGCACAACGCGTGGCGGTTGGCGCGACGCCTGGGAAGACCAAGCATTTTCAGGTGACCTCGTTGCTGAGCAAGACGTGCAAGATGGACATTCGTTGCTCACATGCGCGACTAGACTTTGGCACTGTCGGACACAATCATGCTGTGCGATTGCCCGGGGCTCGTCTTTCCCAGCTTTGTCAACTCCAAAGCAGAAATGCTGTGCTGTGGCGTCCTCCCCATTGCTCAGCTCCGCGACCACGTTCGTACGTCTTGCACGGTTTGTGACGGACGTGATGGTGATGGAAATCATGTAGCGCCGTGTGAGCTCGTCGCCCGGCGCATTCCCCGCGTCGTGTTTGAAGAGACCTACGGCATCAAAGTGCCCGTTCCCAACACGGGCAAGTACAACGACCCGGTCAACGTGTACACGGTCCTGGAAGTGTACGCGCGCGCCCGAGGGTTCACCACGACCGGCAAGGTGCGACACTGGCAGCATATTGAAAATAGTCACGTTGTGTTAAGAGTGGCCCTGATACGTCGCGCGCTGCGCGTGTGTTGCTGCGTGACTACGTCAATGGCAAGCTCTTGTACTGCCACCCGCCCCCGTCGGTCGACGTGAATGATTTGCGGTTCAACCCATTGGAGCTGGCCAAGGACATTGGCGGCGTCGTGGACGAGCTGTTGGCACGCGACGATGAAGACGGCAAACCGGCCAAATTTGACCTGGCCGGTGCCGACAGCAAACGAGTGTTGAGCAAGCGGTCCGTACGACGTGAAAGGAAAAGGGCCAACGATGCGTGTGGTGTGATAGACTCAAGAAACACGGGAAAAAGGGCCGAAAGGGTCGCGACAAGAACCCGTACGAAGACTTGGACAACGCCGCGGCCGCCGTCACGGCGCATGTGTCTCGAGGGAAGAAGATCGACAGGAGAGAAAAGGCATTCACGCGCGTCACTCTGCCCCATCATGCGACTTACACCCCGACAGTGTCGCTGTAATGCTACCGAACCAAATGTGTGTGTGCCACGTGGAGGTGTTGGCCTTGCCAAGCCGTCGAGGACTGCAAACCGACCAAAGCCAGCTACAGACCGACAAGGCGGCGGGAGCAGGTTTGTGTGTGTGTGTGCGAGTTCTACGTCGCTCGGTGGTTGGAAAAGCGAGAGTTGAGACGTCTATGAGAGTTACGGTTTGAACGAGCTGAGCATTTGACACCATGCTTGGGTGCCGTGGACGCCGTCTGTGATGCGGAACGATCCTGACGGCTACAAAATGACGAAAGATGAAGGTTAATTGGAGGAAGAGGACGCACGTGTCGGATGTCAAAGGTCGTGCTGTTCTTGGGGACGATCTGGAAATCGCCCCATGGGTACGCGACGGCCGGGCTCTTTGGGTCCGCCACGACGAGTCGGCCGTGCGTCGTGAACAAGAGCTCCTTGGACTTCTTCGTGAACAGCGACCCGTGGAGTTTCACATCGCCATGCAGCAGGATGTTCTCGTTGTTTTCCAGCATACACGTGGATGACGACGACGCGTTCGACTGCCTCCTCGCTGTCGTGTCAGTGCGCGACGACGGAGGGCTCGGTTGCGATCGGTTGTTGCGATGACTGCGGCACATTTATAGCGCAAGTCCTTTGATCTTTCAACACGTACAAGAGATGGAGGTCGGTCGGGCCATCCGCGACGAGCGCGGTCGCTCCAAACACGTCGTTGAGGACGTTGGCCAAGCTCCAGTTGGGTGACGCACCGTCCTGACGTTTATGAAAGGACAGCGACGTGACGCTATTGCATACCATTGTGGGCGTCGGCAGGTCGACTTTTTCAGGTACAACGGGCGGCGTGGCTTTCGAAATGTTGGGCCAGTCGATGCCGGTAAAGAACGGATGAGCCTGGATCGCGTCATAGTCGATGAGTCGGGCGTCGAGGTTCAGCACAAGCAGCTGCCGGATCAAGTCCCGTGCGGTCTCGGGGACGTGGGCCGGAAACTCCATCGTCGCGCTGTCGTGGGAAAGGATTTGTTGGAACGTCAGGAAATCGGTTTCTCCGCGAAATGGCGGTCGGCCCGTCAGCATCTATCCATGACGACCACGCCATGAGACACACTTTTGACGTTGATTCTCAAAGACCTGGAAGAGAATGCACCCCACGGCCCACAGGTCACTGCCGACGCCCACAGGCATGTCGTTCAAGACTTCGGGGGACAAGTACTCGGCTGTTCCGCAAAACTTAGTCGCGTGCTCATTCGAGTCCGTGAGCTAACGATGCGTGAGACAGATTGATGAACCGCGGGATGGCGCCGTACCGTGGCCGTCCCAAAGTCGGTAACTTTCAAATGCCCCTGTTCGCTGCATGGTCACACTAGTGAGCGGCACTCGATCGTATCAGTCGCATGAACCCACCTGAAGAGAATGTTGTCGGGTTTGAGGTCTCGATGAATGACTTGCTAAGAAGAGGAGAGTTGTAGCGATCGAATGAACATCCCCGGGAAGCTGTACGTTGCTGTGAATATATTGAAGCGCCACGATCAACTGAGCCATGTAGAACTGGACGACGGGAACGCTGCACGCTGTGTCAAGTAGACCTTGTGCTTTGGCCGCGTCGCGCTCTTTGCTGCACGTACCCGTCATGCAAGCGTCGACGATGCAAGAAGCGTACCATATATACGAGAGCAATTCGCCGCCACGGCACAATTCCATCACCATGTACAAGCTCTCGTCGTCCTGTGTATATAGTTGAGTCGGACAAACAACATCCACAAGCGTCGAGACGCCACAGCAGTACCTTGAAGCTGCAGTAGAACTTGACAATGTTCGGGTGCGACAGCTTTGACATCACTTGTCGTTCCATGACGACGAATGGCACTTTGTCATGCTTCTTGATGAATTCCTGGTCCATCACTTTCACGGCAAAGTTGGCCTTGGTCTTCTTGAATTGCGCATGGTACACCTTGGCGAACGAGCCCTGACCGAGCACAGATCCAAAGACAAAGTCACTAGGCGACATTCCAGCACGTGCTTGCGACGACGATGACGGCGCGGCTGAGTTGGAGCTGCGGGAAGGCGTCATCGCGCACACCATGGGAAAGAACGGTACTGGGCAGCGATCCGTGCGAAATCGGCAGAGGCCAAATTTGCTATATTATTACTCACGTCCGCCTGCAATCCATACAAACAACAAGATATATTTCAATTGCAAAATACCTTTCAAAATCGATATTGTGACTCACTTGATTTCAAAGGTTTTGCCAATGTATGTTGAAGCTGCGGCGGCAGGTGCAGAGTGTGGCAGGCAGTGCATCCACCTCCAACCACGCCGCCGCGTGAGGTGATGGATGCGAAGAAGCGCTTGACCAGAGCACCAGGCTGAGCAACGTGGCACAGAGAGCATTTCTGCCGTATCCTCAAGCAGCAAGCATCACAACCTCGCGCTATCGAAGTGAGGCAGCCCACGACATGGTACCGTCTCCTGCGGGGTATTCCTACCATCGACGACTGGAGCGCACTGTTCGGCAGTGCTATCGTCGCACTTGGGGCACTGTAGCGTGTGCGCATGGAAGTGGAGCGCGTGAAGACCTACGGCAGCAGCTGACCGTTCTTTCGCGGGCCAAGTTGTATCCGGATACCGTCCAGAGAGGGTGGTGGACAACATGGAGCAGTTCGTCGCGGCTGTGTTTGCCGACCGAGATGTGGTGTCGTTCTGCGGTCCTCTGCACAGCGCCGCGCTGGAATGGATGGTGTGGCTCCGCCCATCTGCAGCGAATGACTCGATGCACTTGAATGTGTACGTCCGTCGAAAGGAAGACCAGACAGATTTCGACGCGTTCGACTTGACTGTGACCGTCGATGTCCTTCAGAACCATGTCCGTGTCCTCGGGTCATTCGGTCGCCCTCTCAACCATCTCTCCCTTCCCAGATGAACGAACTTGGTGTGACAAGCGACCTGTCGTCGTTTGCGCTTTCCTTCAAGGTCCACTGATCGTGTCAAAGTTGCACTGACCGAACGTCTGCCATTTAGACCGCGCTCTCGGCACGTCGCAGTCTCAACGTCGACGAAGATGAAAACGGCGCGGCCGTCGTTGAAATCACGTATGTGTTTGGGCCGTCCCTTACTCGAAAAGGTTTGCCTACCTCGTCCTGGCCATCTCCATCACACCAGAGTCATGCAGGAATGTTTACCCTGCCGTCCGTCTCCAGCGCTTCCGTTCCGCGGCATGTCGTGGACCTCTTGCAATCGTTACGCACTATTGTCCACGAAACCACCGAGGTATGAACGTGCTCAACCCGACCATCGTGCTTCCATGAATCGCTCCAGGAACAAACGTCACGTCGGGCGCGACGATCAACGCTTCTCTTGTCCGCTGCCGCGGCCCCCATTCAGCTCGCAACGGCGGGTTCTCCGCTGCCCCATGCTGCAGCAGTCAAGCGCAAGCCCGTCCTTCCCCTCGGTGCCAGGTACACCATCTCCATGATTCCTCATCATCCACGATTCGAGTCGTAGGCGCAAAGTCACCCGAGGAGCCAAATTTGCAGACGATGACGAGTAATGACGTATTCGACACACGCAAGCACTAGACTTGGATTTCGCTCGAAAGGGGGCCGCGGCTTGTTCGCGGCGACTCGATCGGGTCCTCCTTGGGTGCCAACCCTTCCAATAGTTCCATCGCGCGCACGTGGTTGCGGAGCGCCGCGGAAGCGTACGCATTCCGGTTCGACTAGCACAAACGATTGCATGAAGTACAGAACCGCACGTGCCGCCAATCACGTACATCGTCCTTGACGGCCGGGTTCGCGCCTGCTTTGAGAAGCAGCGATACCGCGCCAACTTGGTTCTTCTTGGCGGCGACGATCAGCGGCGTCGAATGGTTCTGGAGCATATTGTTCCACATGACTGAGGACGACAAAAGGGAGAAGAGCGTTACTTTGTCTTGGGCGTTCACGTTGGCCCCGGCGCGAATTAACGCTGACACGACGTCTGTGTTGTCATGGATGCAATAGCATGCATGGTGCAATGGGGTCGACTGTTGCTACAGCCAAACGATGTGTGACACGATGGCAGGGTACTGGATGGGTGTACGTTGTTCAGCTCGTCGACGGTTGCCCCGTTGTCCAAAAGCACGTGCACTGTGGCCGCACACCCCGCCATTGCAGCGGCATGCAGCGGCGTGTTGCCGAATTGATTCTTGGCGTTGATCATGGACCATGACGATTGCCCGGTCGCTCGCCGAGGGTCTTTCGCTTTGTCATTCAAGTCTTCTTCCGTGTGCTGATCTTTGTATTGAAGCAAAAGGCGCACCATGCCTGGATTCTTGCGGAAGGACGCTTCGTGGAGTGGACTATTGGCGTCCTATAGCTGCAGACATGACAAAGACAAGTCGTTGCATGAGAGCAGTACGGGGGTGCGCAAGGCCGAAATATCCGCTCCTCCTTCCAGCAACGCTTGTGCAGTCTCCATGTGCCCACCCACAATGGCCGCAATCAATGGCGTTGACCCGTACTAGAACGTCACGACTCGATCAATGCTGAACACGAGCAAGGTCGAGCCCACCTGTGCACGCTGGTGAAAGTTGACATCTGCATTCTTGTCGTTCAGAAGCTGCTTCACTCGTTCGGTCGCCCCTTCCGCCGCGGCTTCATATAGCCACTCGGTCTGCTTGGTCACGATGCGGTTAGCGCTCATTTGGGCGAAAGAAAAAGTGTCAGGATGAGAAACTGCCGAAACTGCAGTTTATTGAATTTTCTTATTCGCCATATATAATTCTTCAGTATATTTAATTTAACAGAACATTACATGAAACAGGTCCATCCCGCTCCCAATGAAACTTACTTAGCAAAGACCGAACAGGCGATTTCATGGCCCCGATGAAAGCGTGAATGTCATATCCGATCTGGTGTTCGTCGACCTGGCGTCACTGCGCTGTTGAGCCATCGTGGAATCGTGTGGCATCAGCACCCACGGTCGGACTTTCTTTTTAAGGGAATTTTTTCCCATAAATTAAGGAAGATTAGGAACATGTGCTCAAGTGACTTCTCCCTGAGCCCTTTTATCCGGAGATCCGGATAGTGGATCGAATCGGTTTCACATTGGGACGCGTTGGAAGGGCAGCCGCGGCAGGCGGCATGGAAAAGCTATGCCAGCAGTACCATGCAGAAGACGTCGGCCGCATACTTCTTCAAGCACAAGATGAATTGCGAAGCATGCGCGAAAAGGTCCACGAGAACAACAACCTGGACGTGAACCAGATCCATGCCATTCTCGAACGAGCAGAGGCCGACTTGCGCGCGAAAGCAGAAGTGCGTGGCTCCAACTCCTACGATAGTTCGTGAGAAAAACGTCTGGTAGATCGTGCTCAATGGCGTCGTGAATAACTCGATGAAGATGCTGCCCGCAATCGACGCCCCAGGTGGTCAAAGGTACCTGTCCAAGTTCTCGTCCAAGCTGGCGCAAAAACGGGACCTCGCCGCGACAATGGCACGTGAAGTACGTTTCAAGCACTTTCACGAATTGTCGTTGACAGTACCGTGCATATCTGACCTCGCTTGCCTCTTCTGCTGCAGAATACATACGAACCAGGTTCTCCAACGTATGGCCACGACACGTCCTACCGAGAGGTACGTGAATAAAAGGGAGAAGCAATCCGAAAGCCCATGTCCAAAATGGCTCTAGCATCCCAGTTTGAGTGGTCCCATTGAACCAATGGAGCGAGATCGGACTCCAGGACGACGTCCGGTCGGTCGGATCGTCAAAGCTGGGTCCCTGGTCAAGCATAAAACCACGAAACCCCGCCGGATTCTGCCCAAAGTATGCGACTCGACCGTATCTGTCACGTTGATTCGAAGCTGCCGCCGATGGTAGATGAACCGCTTGGATCCGACAGCTCCACCCCCCGCCCTCCTTGACGACGACGCTCGCGGTGGGGTGCACAATCTTCTCACTCGCGGCTTCTTGCCACCATCCGTGGACGTCACTCCCGCGTTTACCCACGGCACGAGCGTGATTCAAAACACCCGAGTAAAAATATACGACCGAGCGTCCCAGCCCGTCAAGTCCATGCCGTACACGAACCCGTCGGGCTTCAACATGGCGTCACTCAAGTTTGACATGGTGACACCGACTCCGCCCACCGTCGCAAACGTCCCGATCAACCAAGGAGGGGACATTCCTCCGTCCAAGACGTCCATTCCCACACCGATCGACATTACGTTCGACGGGCATGCGAACAACGCAGTGCCGTTTCGACCAGAGCAACCCAAAGGGGGAAACGACCCGTCGGGAAAGGATTGTGCGAGTGCGGACGACGGTGCCGGAGGCAACGACTCCACTTCGATTCACGTATGCATGCAACCATGTCAGGCGTCTGGCCGACACTAGGACGCTTCAGGCAGTGGTCCCTAACGACGTTGTAGAACTTGCGGCGAAACGTGGAAAAGATTCGGGGGTACAACGAGCTCCTGGACACGTACAGGTATGGCGCCTCGGCGCTTCGACAGAGATAGCGCCGACTTGTGTGTTGGTAGTTTGCACCAGTTCATCATCCGCAAAGGCAAGACGCTGGCCGACACGCCCGAATTTATTTCGTTCCAACGGACTACCGAAGACTTGTGGGGCAGCGTGTCGAAATCGATCCAGGAACTGGAAGCGATGCTGACAAACTACTCGGTTCCGTTGGCTTACGTGGATGGTCAAAAGCTGATGAAGATTGCCGCGATGGACGGGACGGCTCGCGGAACGATGGAACTTCTGTCGTGCATTCTCAACATGGACGAAGTGAGCTCACTCATGCGACGGCCGGGTCAGCGCTTCAAGGGCAAGTCGGGGCCGGACCTGGCGGCGGTGCTCCTTCAAAGCGTCTGGCGCATGTACATCACAAAGAAACGACTCAAGAACCACCACGGCAACGAAGATGCCGCAGTCATCCAGCGCATTTACCGATCGTATCGTTGCTTTAGCCAGTTGCAACAACGTCTCAAGTCTGTACGGGAGGCGGATTTGCGGATCTGGGATGCCCAAATGCAGCGCTTCCGCGCGAATTGGGACTCGGTACGCCATGAATTGCACCCGATCCGCTTGACGATGGCATCGTAATGTAGATCAAGATGCAGCGTCGAGTCGTCGTTCATGTGCCGTCGTTTTCGTCCGAGGAACGAACCCGCCTGAAGATGGAAAATTTTTCGATTCAGCAAAACCTCCAAATGGCGCGCATGTGTGCGATCGCAGATCCGAACGTCGACATCATTTACATTTCGCCATTCGAGCTGTCTCCCGACATTCAAAAGTACCAAGTCCGACTCCTCCAACTCGGTGGAATCGCCGACCCCCAGACGCGCATCCGCATGCTGCACCCCGAGAACGTGGACCGGTTTCCAGAGCACTTTTCGTTGACGACCGTGCTCTTGTACTCGCCGCACTGTCTCAAGAAGATCAAGCGGTTCGTTCGGGGCAAAGATGCATACATTGTGACGGGGAACGTTGGCCCGGAAGACAAGCGGCTCGCCATTGCACTGCAGCTTCCGCTCCTCGGGATGGACCCGGACAAGGCTCTGCTCTACGGCACGCGGGTACGATCGAGTTTGCTCGATTCCAGCTAACTCGGAGGTGGTGGTGGTAGTCGGGCGGCAAGCGCATTTTCATGGCGGCAGACGTGAATATTCCCATGGGGGCGCACGACATTTACGACGAAGACGAGCTCATTCAGAGCTTGAGCAAGCTGATTGCAGCCGATATCGACCAGACCGAGTGGCTCATCAAGGTCCTATGATTCTCTGGGGATTCTAGCACTGGCTGAAGCGGCTGCGCCTTAGATCGATGCGGATCAGTCCAACACTGGCATTGCCAGCCTCAACGTGGACAAGATGCAGAGCGTCGCCAAATTCCGCGCCGAGAAGCGCGAGATGAAGCACGGGGCCGCCGAATACTTTCAACAGCCAGACGTCCGCGACGCGGTGTTGCGAAGCGTGTACAGCGAGCTGAACGAGTCGTACTTTGCAGCAAACGTCACGCCGTGCTTTCCTGAAGTATTTTCCATCTGCAAGCATCATGTCTTCACGCGTCCTTGTCAGATGTATGCGTCCTGGGCGGCGATGCGGCCGATCGCACTGCGCGTGGGGGTTGTGATTGAGGTGCTCGCAACCCGACTCCACGTGCTCATAGTCGTGCATTGGGCTAGGCGTATCCAAGCAAAGTGCTCAGCCACGTCCGCACTAACATCTTCATTGAGCCGTCCGGCGGCGTTCACATTACGTCTGCGCACGACGTGTTCATGTGCCCAGTCAACAAGCACTTGCCTCAGTGCGCAGTCTTTCCGCAGTCGTCCGTTCCGTATCAAGCGATCCGCGTACGCGCTCTTGCGTCGTGGCATGGGCGTTTCGATTGATCTACTCATGTGTAGGGCGCGTCGTTGGCAATTGCGAGCTCGATGTTTATCAAAGGCATCATCGGGTACGCCAGCATCGATTACATCAGCTTCGCCGACCCCAAGGCCATGGTGAGCGGTCGCCCGCGGCAACGGCTGTGGGCCATGCAAGTTGTCCCGGGTTTGACCAACACGGCCGTGTCGTTCGTTATGTTTGCATTCCTATCGTGCTCCCAGTTCAACCCCATCACGGGCAAGAGCCACTTACAAGTCGCACCCGCGCCCGTCGCCACACTCTCGACCGCCAATGCCCCCATTACCCCGACCCAACAAGAGATCGCGACGATTCTGAGCCCACCGTCGTCCGCGGCAGCTGCGTCGGTGTGTGGACCAGAGCGCACGTACATGGTCCTCGACTACATTTACCACCCCAACATGGCGACGCTGCAGTTTGCGACATTCTTCAACACATGCCGCCTCCATGGCGTCAGCTTCGATCTCCAGGTGCAGCATTCTTGAGCGTGATGGTGATTGACTCATGATGTACGACAGAGGGCGATTGGGGCGGCGTACATCCTGGCAGACAGCCTCACAGCAGGCGTCGTTGGTCTCATATGCATTGGCGAAAGCGACAAGGAGGCATTCCGAATAGCCCGGCAGGCCGTGGAGCTAATTGGAGACCAAGTCGGTGTCCAAGCACTGCCGAATTCTCTGTCTGGCGAACGCCTCGGCAACTTTCCCCATTTACTCGCCATTGTGCGCAACAAGAGCGACGATCCTGCTGCCGCCGACAGGAGAAAGCGGCGAGGGAAGTAAGGTCACACCAACATGAAACGTCGTTCTCGTTTCTTCACTCCTGTACATCATCCGGATAAAGAAATTGGATCCGGCAATTCCCGTGGCATTCCTGGGAGTGATGGGAATCATGGCGTTGCCGATGGTGTCGTCGGTGGGATGCCTGCTGCTGAGCCTTCGCGCCGACGCGCTTGTTGTGAATACAGACGTACGTACCATCCACGCATCTACCTAGGTGGAAGCAAGACCCACTCACGCATGGTATCTAGGTCAACCGGACGTTTGACCTAACGAGGCACATCGTCCGGCAAGTAGACGACATTTCGTTCCGAGACGAGAACGGGCCGGTGGCAACGTACACATGGGCAATTCCGCTGACCTTTCACGACCGTTTATCGTACATGAGCGCCAAAACCGATCGAAACATCGCGTGTGAAGTCGTCCAAGGCTCGCGGACGCCCGTCATGCAGCTCTACAACGTGCGGTTGCCAACGCCAGTACTCAAGGGAGCAGACGGGTTCATCCGAATGACAGCATACTTCACACGCATGCTCACACCGTTGCCTGCTGCGATCAAGCAAAGCGAGAACCAGTTGGTCGTGTTCCGTGCACCGCACTTGCTCCCGTCGCCGTACCCGACCGTCACCCAAACCACACGAGTCAAACTCCCGTCGAGCCACGTACATCGTCGAATCCCTCCATCCAACCCATCATGTCTCCATTAGATTGAGAGCCATACGCTGTTGGAACCCGTGGCCGCAAACGGCTCGACCTTGACCTTTGGACCGTACCAGTCGACCCCCGCCGAATCTCCGACCATCCACACGCCGTTCACTGTTCATTTCATGCACAACGAACCCTTCTTGACCATGACGTCCGTCGTAAAGGAAATCCAAGTGTCCATGTGGGGCCGCGTGACGACGGAGGAAGTCGTCGACGTCGAACACACCGGTGCAACCCTCGTCGGGGGCTTCTCGCGCTTCGACTACGCTGAACACCGCGCCGTGTCGGCGTCGTTCCGGTCGTTTGTGGCTGTCTTGCCGGAACACGCAACCAACATCTATTACCGCGACGTGATCGGCAACATCACAACGTCCCGCCATCACCCAACGACCGGCCGGACGGAGCTCGAGCTGCACACGCGATACCCGCTCTTTGGCGGATGGAGGACGCAGTATTACCTCGGGTACTCTGTTCCGACGGCGTCCGTGCTGTTGCATGCCAACGACCAGTACCGCCTCGAAGGGGTCCTGTCGACTTGTGTCGACCATGCGGCCGTCGACAACCTCACTGTCAAGGTGATTCTCCCCGAAGGCGCGACGAACATTCAAGTGACGGTGCCATTTCATGCCGAGATCGCGCGCACGACGCGGCATTCGTTCCTGGATACGCCGGACATGGGCCGTCCCGTCGTAATCGTCAAGATGACCAACGTCGTGCCAGCCCACAACGACGCCCCGTTCACCATCACGTTCGAGTACCCGAGTCACTTCATCTACCGGGAACCTGCGCTCGTCGTGGCGGCGTTTTTTGCGTGTTTCGTCGTATGCATGGCCGTCGTACGCATGGCTTCGATCTTCACCGCGGTCCAACGTAAGCCACTGGCGAAAACCGAGTAGAATATGATGCGCTTTCACGACCGAAGCGTGCATGTCTCGGTTCAAGCCGTCGAAAGAGAAATGTAGTGGGTCCTCCCTTGTCGGGAATACGTTTGTTTGTACGGAGGTAGTGGGCACGACGATGATTTTCTGCATGCTTGTACCTTACTTAGAGCTGGTTGATCTCGCCAAACTCAGAGTAAAACGTGGACATGGCCGTGGATGACTTCGTTGCGTCCGCGGGGTTGAGCCACAGCCGGCACTTGTCGTACGGGGGCGCGTACAAGTGCAGTGTGATGGCGTCCGTCGTGTCGCTGGGGTTCCCAATCTTGTGAAGGCCGAGGGAGTCGTCCATGTACGTGACCCCTTCCGACACAAACGTTTCCGACGTTTGTTCGAGGCTCGTGCCGTTGTTCCAGTATCGAACTTCGTGCACCGTCCCTTGGATGTGACGGACCCAGCACCCGTCGGACGGGTGGTCGTGGATCGGGCTGTACTTGCCCTTGTTCCAGCACAACAGCATGAGGGCGTACGTTTGGTTGTCTGTCGCGATGAGGTTGCGTGTGTAGTTTCGGGACGGGTCAAAGTGCGCATAGCGCTTGAGTTCGTCCAAGTCGGCGTGCAACGAGGCTAGGGCTTTCTTGATGTCGTCCTTCTTGTTGAGGGGAAGGCGTTCGTGGTGTTCAAACTCGGCTTCGATCGCGTGGACGAGCTCTCGCAGGGTCAATCCCTTGGTCGAGGAAGGCGGCGTGGGGGTCGTGGCGGCGACGATCGCGCTCATCTGCGTCGCACAGAGGATGTTCGGTTGTGGTTCTCTGGCGTTTTGTCGCAAGCTCATTTTATTCGACATCACTTGATATTTGTATCCAATTCAATGAAAACATGTTCGTGACAATGCCAAAGCTTCAAACCTTCGACGTTGTGACGGGGGATGTGCCAAGTTCAAGTTAGCAATCCGCGGCAGAGGGGATCGGCGCGGCCCCAGCTGGGGCGCGAAACTCCACAGCCATGGATGTGGGGACTTTCTTGATGCTGTGGCCGTCCGCGCTCTCCGCCAGTAGACTCGGCGTGCGTGGAAATTGTTCGAGGCGCACCGTGGGAGCGCACACGTAGGCGAGAATTTGGCACCCCTCCGAGTTTTGTCGCAATTTTTTCAGGTCCCCTTCCCGTCGGATATCCGATTCCTTGGTGCATATGACTTGCAGTAAGGCAGGTTCTACTTGAACCTCTTTCGCGGTGGGCAAGCTAAATGGATGGTCGCGAGGGTGCTCGCGAAGCCGCTCTCTGCCACGTCGGCATGCAGCAGCGCATAGGATGCAGCGAGTTTGCGAATCAAGGCGCGAGCCAGCAGGTTCAGAGCAGGAATCATGCCGCCGTGTGTATCAAGGAAGAATTTTTCGATTGTGCTGTCGACCTCTTGCGTGGCAAATCACTGCGCGGGGCTTGATAAATCCTCGTCAAATACTTCAGCGCGTCGGCATCGCCCCTGCAGACTCGATCGGGCGCGATGGATCGCCGAAACTGTTGAAAGGAAAGGTCGTATTGTACATCTTACACATGGATCTCGGCACTCTCGAGTTCCGTTCGTCGCTGGCGAATGAGTTTGCATGCAGCTTTGTGCTGCGGCCAGTCGGCGGTTTGGTGCTCTTTGGTGCAATACAGCGCCGCGTCACAAGGACACTTGAAGAGGGGCTTCGCGTCGACCGGCTGGGTGCTGGCGCCGCAAGTGCGGCAACCCAATTTGGCTTCCACGGGAGGTTGCAATGGCTGGAAGAATATTTGCTCGAACGTGCGCGCAATGTTGGCCAAAAACGTGAGGATCATCTGCTGTCGCATTTGCAGCGTCAGCCACACGTCGGCTTCGATGAGCACGTTTTGGTCAATCTTGGCCTTGATTTCGTCGAGAACATTGATAGACACGGACGGAAGAAGCGACTGGATTTGCTGCTCAGGGTCCTTTGGGTCGATAAACGCCAGCGCGACGGTATCAAAGGTGTTTCCGGAAAACGTTGGCATGCGATTCTTCGCCCGAAGGGCCTTCAAGTACGCCAAATCCTCCGCCGCGCAGTCGAGTCGAGCACGATTACATAGAAGCCGGACCAGCGGTTTTCCTTCGTCCGCAAGCAACGTCGACAACGTGAGCTCTGGCGCCAAAAAATCGGTCGCCTTCATTTCACTCGTCGGCGGTGACAAGGGCAAATCTGGCGATGCATTTCGCAGCATAGAGAGCTGACCGGCGTAGGGCAGACCCAAGAACCATTTCATGAAGGTGGCTCCATGGGCATCCCAGAAGCGCAAGAGGAATTCGCCTTCCGTCAAAGGAGTTGATGCGGTGGTGGACGACGCCATACCTGTCGATGGACTGGT